GTTTAGGATCAGATGACTTCTAAAAATGCTGAGTCTACACCTTGGGTTTCCGGTTCTACGTGGGCTGTCTCGCGGGGCAGAGGGGTGCAGCAGCCTGTTCCAGTGTGGGCTTTGCCCCCAGCCTCCACTGTCAGGTCCCTCCACTGGCAGCAGGCCGGCAGCAGGCCACAGGGACGTTCAGTCTGTCCCAAACACAGCCTCTGGGTGAAGTCACGTCTGAGTTTTAGCAGCAGCTGCCGCACTTCCGAGATGCACAGAACTTCTCTAGTAGGTGTCACTATTGTCAGAGCGAGTGGGTGGGAGGCAGTTAACTAATTTAATGAACAAAAACCACAAAGAAAAAAATGATGATGAGGAGGAGGAGAGACAGCAGCCGGGAGGCAGTGACTGCCCGGATTACAAACATTCGTTTCCGTCACAGAATCTTTATTGTACACGTTTGCATCACAGCGAGAAGCCACCCCAAACAGCACCCTGAGCGGAAGCCCCACCCGCCACGTTTACATAAATGCTCAACATCATGTTAAAAAAATACTGAAAGCTCCTTCTGCACCCCAATCTCACCTGGAAATCAATATATATACAGACATCGTCACCCCAAATGTGACTTCTTTCTGGATTAGATGTGTCTGACTTCTTTTGTGGCCTATGACTTGACAAATCCAATTTATGATCTGTAAACGCCCCGAGGTGTCAAGAAACCGCCTTGCGCGGACAGGACTTGTGGCTCCCTTGGTTAATAAGTGCCTTCAACGCTAGGGGGGCTGACCTCTGGCCCCGCAGGAGTCGGCTGCCCACCGCGAAACCTCATACCGTGCCTCAAAAGCAGCTTACTGTCGTGGGAGTGGTTAGTCTTCCTATTTCACTCTGACATTTGCTGACTTTGTCTGGAACTCCTCCTTCCCAAAGGGCCTGGCTGCTGACTTCCTGCCACCAGAACTCCAGCAGGTCCCTGGTGCAACCCGACCCAGTCCTTGCTCCGGCTCCTCCTTGTGCCCCCCAGTGTGCGCTCTTCACACGGCGTCTCGGGACACGCATGTCCACATGCCAGCAGTGAGCCGTGGAAAATTGTATCTACCTTCGAGCACAAACCACGCAGAGGGCACAGACGCACGGCCAGCCCACGAGGCCCCGGGGGAATGTGGAGTGCTCAGCTCGCCCACCAGGAACCGCATTCCAGGTGGTGACAAGTACTGGCCTCAGTGCCGGCAGATCCCTGCAAAGACTTCCTGCCGGAAACCCCTAGAGAAACCGAGCACAGAGCAGGTCTGAGAACCTTTGGTGGGTCCAAACGCCTTTTATATACCAAGAGGTATCAAGTCCAAGTCTAACCTCTTCAGTGGCGAATCCTAACGGGAAAAAGTGGGCCACCGCACCCTGGGCTCTGCGTGTTCTGAACTGGTAAGAGGCCAGGGCTGGCTCAGAACAGCAAGGGGGAGCGCGGCGGGGAGGGGTGGCGTTGGCAGCAGGCAGCGTGAAGGGTTCTGCCGTTCTGCAGGGTGTATTGCATGGAGCAGGGCCAACAACCTCATCAGACTGTCTGATGGTCCGGGGCTTCCTCGAAGAAACACTTCAGGATGGGGAGATGGCTGGCCGCCACTTGTAATTAAAATGGGCATCTTTTACACTCTCCCTTGGTCTGTAAGGAATGGCTCCTGTAGCAGACGCCTAAGTACTAAAACAAGACATATATTTAATGCAGGGAAGAACAGCATGTATGGTCCAAAGCATTAATATATGCATCAGTATGAGCCCTCCTGTCAAGTTCTCCTTAGCCGAGAACTGTACCTTTGCAGAGCTGCTGGGAGATAGCGCTGCAATGCACCAAAGCCTCCAGCCCGTATCCCCAAGACTGAGCCTGTGTGGAATCAATAGATGTGGGTGGCAAAGTGGGGTGGAGGGGGGGGGAAGGGCAGGCTGTGGAAGGAGGACAGAGGTCTGATGAGCTCATAATTTCGAGGTGGAAGTCCCGTCACGACAGTCACATGAAGTAGGCTTATGAGATCTAGTGCTGCCTTGGCTGTCTGGATATGTCCGGGTAGAAAAAAAACCCTGGCAATTTTACTCCAGAGTGGCTTCTTGCAAGAAAATGGAGTGACTCGGGCTGTGACCTGAGAACCCCTTTGCACCACAGCAAGCTCCTCCCTCGGGCAGAGCAGGCCACCAGCTCGCCAGCAGCATGCTCCGGGGCACGAAATGCACCGCCACTAAAACTGCAAAGCCTCCAGGGGCCCAGAACCAGGCTGATGGAGCCTCTGGCCACTAACAGCCAGGATTAAGGGATCAGTGATTGTTCTTGTGGTCCAAGAAGTCATTTTCTACAAGAGACAGACTTAATTAAAGGAAAACAGAGCCTTCACTTCCTGAAATTTCCCAGCCAGCATGGTTTACAGTCCACGGCAGATTTCTCAAAGAAAGCCTGAGTATTTCGCGTGGGCAGAAACAGGGAGTCGGAGCACAAAGTGAAGCTATAAATATCGAGGGCTCTATGGTGCGCACCCCGTCCTTCCTGCCCAGGCTGGGGTCCTGGGAGGGCTTGACTGTTCAACATCGAAGCTCCCCAAACCCACAGGAACTGAACCTCAGGCTGCAGGAAGGGGCTGTGAGTTGGGGAAACCACTGTGCCTTGGACCCCAGTCAGTCATCCTGACTTGAGAGTAGAGCTGAATGCTGGTCACAACTAGGAAGTGATACAGAAAGAGAGGAAATCTGTACAGAACAGGACAGAGAGCTTAAGTACTTTGTAAAAACGTGAACTACCACCTGTCTTCCCCATCGTGGGCTGGGGTTTGAGTTTTCCTAACCATGGGCCTGACTGCAGACCCTCGAGTTCCATACAGGACACGGGCAGACGAACTGCTTGGTGGGAAGGCTGTGGCCAGCCTGTTTCCAAACCACTGCCATCCCATCGTGCCTTCCCGCTCCTGGAGGGCCAGCCCTGGAAAGGCACAGCCCCTCGGGTACTATGTGGGAGCCCAGAGGCTCCTAGAGGTAGGCATGGGATTTATTTTTTTCTTTACTGATTTTTAGAGCAAGAGGGAGAGAGAGATAGAAACACTGATGAGAGAGAACACTGATGGCCACCTCCTGCATGCCCCCACTGGGGATCTGGCTCATAACCCAGGTATGTGCCTTGACTGGGAATCAAATTGACCTCTTGGTGCATGGGTCTACACTCAACCACTGAGCCACACCAGCTAGGCGGCATGGGATTTAAAGGGCACTCTGTCCCACAGAGAAGCCAGTGCTTTGGCTTGGTCCTAATGTGACTGCTGAGGCTGGGAAGCTGCCAGAGGGGGCAGGGGGCAGGGGCCAGTGGGGCCGCTGCACACACGGTCTCGTCCTCCCTCGCTCCTCCACGCACTCGATTCCTTGATTCCAGTATGTGAAGTGAAGACCCTTCCATGGAGACCCTTTCTAGGAGGGAGGTTTCAGCACAAGAAATCTATGGCGGAGTCAAGAACATCTGCAGGCAGGACAAGCAGCAGATGTGTTCCCCTGAGGGAAGCACCCTAGAGGGATTTGAGACACATTTCTGCAACTTCCTTCCCGTCACATAACTCCAAGGTAAACAGAAGAAAAAGGCGAAGGTCCCTTAGGTTAGTACTCAGGCTGTGTTCCGGGTCCTGGCGATGGGAAGACACGGGAAGCCCCCCGAGATGCCCGCGGAGAGGCAGGCGGCAGTGGCCGGAAGCCCTCCCCATGCTGCACCAGGGGCCGGAGCTGGGACCTGCTCTGTGGAGGGCGGCGGGCACAGCCGGGGCCGATACACCTGCGGGAGGACGCCTGCTGCTCCCCGGGTCCCGCAGGCACTGAGGCGGCAGAGAGGGAAAACAACTGCTTTTGAGGAAAGACTTTAGGTTCCCAAATCTGCGACACTGAGCGCCACCCCTACAGCTTGTTTCTGATTGACCCAAGCCTGGGGTAAGAAAACCACCACTGGAGACTGTCCCTGTCCACCCGCCAGGAGGCCCCTGACACGCCTGGGCACCCCAAGCATTAGGAAGCCTTCCTGCCGTGGCCACGTTCAGTCTCCTGTCTCAGGCCCGGGGACCAAAACCACAGTGAGAAATGATCACGACCCCTCTATGCCCTCAGTCACAACGGGCCTTCCGAGCTGGTCCCGCGATTCGAATGGCTGAGCTGCAGTGCTGTTCACTTGAGGCAGCGCCCCAGGTTGGACTCCCAGCTCAGAAAGTTTGCAAGGGAACCTCAGAGTTCCCACGAGACACCCCCCCCCAACAGGGGACCGTCCAGTCACACTCATCTTCATGCGCACACCCCTGGGGCCCAGGCAGGGACAAGCTCTGGCCTCCTTTGCTCAGAACCCTATCTGGCTTACAGGAAAGCTTGCTGAAGATGATGATTTGCCTGGACTTAGGTATTTGCTTCGATGCCACCTTTTCTGACCCCAGCTGCTCCTGAGGAAATCCCTTCCCACACCCCCCCCCCCATATTCCGATCACACAAAGCAGATACAAATCACGAGAAGCGAGGGCCCGAGAGTCGGTGCTGCTCTGGGATGTTCAAGGAAACCTACAGAATGCTTTTTTGAGCCAAAAATATATTTCTATCCATCCTTTAGGCAACACAGAACACCGTTCAACCAAGAACACATTTCCCACAGCGGGGCTGGGCTGGCAGACGTTGCAGCCCTCAGGCACACGGCCCCTTTGGAAAGGAGGCCACCGGCTCCTAGAGCTGTTGGTCCCTGGTCTTCAGGATCCAGGATGGAGCCCCAAGGCCACATTTAGGGACAGGAGTCTGGGGCAGACTCGACATACTAAATTAGGGTCTGACTCTGCTTTCTAAAATAACCTAATTTCATTCGTTTATGTCCCAAAAGCTGCAGCGACCCTCTCCCTCCCCCTCTGTAAGCCCTGCTGACAGACACAGGCCCCGCCCTCCTCCCCACCCACTATTCCTCTCGAGCTACACACTGGGGGTCACACTGCATAAACCCTAAGAGCTCCCAATTAAAAAATATATCTATATATAAATCAAAACCAAGTCTTCCTTTTATTCTCCTCCTTGCTACATGCCCTCCGCACTGTGCCCGCCTGAAGGAGAAATCCAGCTGCCTATGACCAGCCACAGATCCAGTCTCCGTAAAAGAGAGTAAAAAATCAGGTTTGCGTGGCACTTTGCTCCCGGCCACGTGCTCTGTAGTGTCATTGTTGGGAGGTGCCAGCGGCTCTCGCTCACCAATAGGACAAATAATAAATTAAATGTCTTCTCTGTCGGGGCCAGCCTCAAGGTGCTCCATCACGCGGTGCACTCCCAGTCACCCTGGGGCTCCACCGAGCCGTTGGTCACCTTCTTGACTTTCTTCATATTCTCCATCACCCCTGATGTCGTCACGCTGCACAAGAAAACAGACAATAAGGAGCATGTCAGGTGTATAGTAGGGCCGTCCTCGGAATGAGGAAGGGTTTGAATTCTGACCCGCTCCTGGGTACTGTGTGACCTTGGCCAGGTTGCTTGAGCTCTCTGTGCTTCCATACAATAAGTAATTCCCGCGTCCCGGAACTGCGAGGGAAAGTGAGCTTCTCCAAAGTGCCCAGTCGACACGGAGGCTATTACTATTACAATCGGCACTAAGCTCTGTCACGGCCACGAGACCCACACCCTGTCCTATGATTAACATTCTGGAAAGAAAGCTACCCCGCTGAAGACATTTACAATAACCAGCCACGTTTCTGAGTCACGGGACAAAAGCACAGGTGTGGAGGAAACTTCTGGGCCCAGATCCTTTGACCACTAGAGATGGAGAATGGGCTGCTTTCGCAGCAGATCCGAGCCCTGGTGCCTGCAGCCGGGCCAGGCCTCGGCCGTGAGTGAGCACGTGCCCCTGCTCCCCCCGTGCCTCCCCAGGACAGGGCCTGCCTATTCAGGAGGGGCCATGCAGCCTTTCACCGAATCTGTGGATCAAAACGGGAAGCACACTGGCTCTTTCCATAAAGTGAGCACAGCCTCTCTCGAGTGGTGGCATCTATGGGAAGACAACCACTTGCCTCATAAGACGTGAGCGGGACAGAGTCCCAGGATGTCTTTATCTAGGAGGGACATGAGCGCTCCAGGGCAGGAGACGTCAAGCGGACATACTGAGGTTCACTAGTAGGGTGTTTAGGGCAGTGGAACTATTATTCTGTGTGATACAATTATGGTAGACACATGTCTTTATGCACTCATCCAAACCCACAGATGCCCAACACCAAGAAGGAACCCTAATGTAAGCTATGGGCTCTGGGTGATAATAACTGTCAATTAGGTTCATCACTGTAACAAATGTACCACTGTGGAGGGGATGCTGATGATGGGGAGGCCGTGCAAGTGTGGGGCCAGGGTGCATACAGGAAACCACTGTATCTTCTATTCAATTTTGCTGTGAACCAAGAACTGCTCTAAAAAATAGTCTGTTAAAAACAAATACACCTGGCCCAGCATCTCCTAAAATTCTAGGAAACAATGGGCACCTATGTCCCCATCACAGACCAACAAGAACTTCCTGATCAGTAAAGTAAGTTCACTCCCTCCAGTGCCAGCTCAGGGGAGCACCTCTCTGAGCCAGGCGGCCGCTCCAACCTCTGGAGGGCACCGGCCCCAAGGGCCAGCAGCACCAGGGCTAAGCCGGGCCGAAGTGCTCCCTATGGGGTCAGGCCAGGAGCCTGTGGAGGACAGACAGGAAGTGGAGCGGAGATATGCCCGAGAGGAGCAGCAGCGGCCAGGAGCCGTGCGGGGGACAGACAGGAAGTGGAGCGGAGATGTGCCCGAGAGGAGCAGCAGCGGCCAGGAGCGTGCGGGGGACAGACAGGAAGTGGAGCGGAGATGTGCCCGAGAGGAGCAGCAGCGGCCGGGAGCGTGCGGGGGACAGACAGGAAGTGGAGCGGAGATGTGCCCGAGAGGAGCAGCGGCGGCCAGGAGCGTGCGGGGGACAGACAGGAAGTGGAGCGGAGATGTGCCCGAGAGGAGCAGCAGCGGCCGGGAGCCTGTGGAGGACAGACAGGAAGTGGAGCGGAGATGTGCCCGAGAGGAGCAGCCCGAGAGGAGCAGCAGCGGCCAGGAGCGTGCGGGGGACAGACAGGAAGTGGAGCAGAGATGTGCCCGAGAGGAGCAGCGGCGGCCAGGAGCGTGCGGGGGACAGACAGGAAGTGGAGCGGAGATGTGCCCGAGAGGAGCAGCGGCGGCCAGGAGCGTGCGGGGGACAGACAGGAAGTGGAGCAGAGATGTGCCCGAGAGGAGCAGCGGCGGCCGGGAGCCTGTGGGGGACAGACAGGAAGTGGAGCGGAGATGTGCCCGAGAGGAGCAGCGGCGGCCAGGAGCGTGCGGGGGACAGACAGGAAGTGGAGCGGAGATGTGCCCGAGAGGAGCAGCAGCGGCCGGGAGCCTGTGGGGGACAGACAGGAAGTGGAGCGGAGATGTGCCCGAGAGGAGCAGCGGCGGCCGGGAGCGTGCGGGGGACAGACAGGAAGTGGAGCGGAGATGTGCCCGAGAGGAGCAGCGGCGGCCGGGAGCGTGCGGGGGACAGACAGGAAGTGGAGCGGAGATGTGCCCGAGAGGAGCAGCGGCGGCCGGGAGCGTGCGGGGGACAGACAGGAAGTGGAGCGGAGATGTGCCCGAGAGGAGCAGCAGCGGCCGGGAGCGTGCGGGGGACAGACAGGAAGTGGAGCGGAGATGTGCCCGAGAGGAGCAGCAGCGGCCAGGAGCGTGCGGAGGACAGACAGGAAGTGGAGCGGAGATATGCCCGAGAGGAGCAGCGGCGGCCGGGAGCGTGCGGGGGACAGACAGGAAGTGGAGCGGAGATGTGCCCGAGAGGAGCAGCGGCGGCCGGGAGCCTGTGGAGGACAGACAGGAAGTGGAGCGGAGATGTGCCCGAGAGGAGCAGCGGCGGCCGGGAGCGTGCGGGGGACAGAGAGGAAGTGGAGAGGAGATGTGCCCGAGAGGAGCAGCAGCGGCCGGGAGCGTGCGGGGGACAGACAGGAAGTGGAGCGGAGATGTGCCCGAGAGGAGCAGCAGCGAGCTCCAGCAGAGACGAGAGACCACGTGGACCCAGGGCTGCCTCCCTCTTTCCCTCTATATCTCCATGGTGACCCTACTTTCCCGGCAGAGGCCCCGAGTCCTGTGCTTGCACCCGGAAGGGCCTAATACACACAAGCTAGATGAGAATGGGGCTTTAGACACCCACGGCTCCCGCTGCCACACGGGTCACATTCGCATGAGCTGGGGCCTAAGAGGCCCATGGACACACCTATTCCTTTAACCAAACAAAACCAGTAACAATAACCAAACTAAAAATTGTTTTCTGGACTGGAATGTGGGGCAGCCTGGGTAAGAGGCAATCCCTTAGTCTCCAACTCTCCTGGGCCCACTGTCGGTGCCCATGTGCGAACACAGGGAGTAGTCGGAGGAGGCTGGCGACCTGCAGGATGGCGGACTGGAATGACAACCCCAGAGACAAGTTTGGGTCCTGGAACACACACCAGACTTTTCTGCCTACCCTGACTACTCAGGATGACAGAAATAATTCCGATCATCCAGGATACGCACAGCACATGAGGCAGCTGCTGAGTCTGAGCACTGAAATCACAGCCAATACTTTTTAGCATGCTGAATTTTTTATGATAAATTTTGTTACCAAAATTGGTCCAAAGAGAGATGTTAAAAGAGAAAGACAGAGAGCCAGTGTTACCTGGGAGTGCACCCTCTCCCACAGGCTCGGAGGGAGGAACTGGGGGCGCCTGGCCAGAAGAAGCTCCCCACCCTACCCCACCCCGGGGCAGAGACTCACTGCCCTCAGCTGGGCCTCAGATAAAGCGGTGAGGGCAGGGGCAGGAGGACTCCCCAGAGTCTCTGCGGTCACGGCTCAGCTGCCAGCAGTCAGGCGCATCAGGAAGAGTGTACGTTTGTTCTGGCGGCGAGGACAGGGCTGTCCTTCCACAGAGGTGCTCTGCTCTGGGACAAGGACCAGATCAGCTCCCTTCTTCAGGAACCCCCCCGCCCCCCCCAGTGTGCATGGCAGAGCGTAGGGTCGTCCAGGAGACCAGACAAGGGCCCTGCCTGCCCCTGCTGCGGTCACTTGTGGAGGATTGAAGGGGTGCCACCAGGAACAGCACGTCACGTGGCAGAGGGCAATGACAGCCCGGGCACCACTGCCTGAAGCTGCGGTTAGCCTTTGCGCTCAGTGCAGGGGGACGGGGAGGCTGGCTGCGGCTGGAGGCTCCGGCCCAGGCCAGTTCTGCTGTCACAGCTTAGAAATTCACAGAACTTTCTCAACAGCAGAGTTCTTAGACAAAGAGAAGGCCCAGAGAAGGTCCTTGCCCAGTTAACGGCACTTGACCTCAATCTGCTCCTGAACTTCTCAGGCTACACCGGCTGGTCCCCGGACTGCCACACCCTGAAGGACACCCTCCCTCAGCTGCGGGGAGAACCCCTTCACTGTCATAGGAGGGCTCCCACTGAGCCGCTGAAAACAGTGTGATGTGCGCGCGCGTGCCCTGGGACGGGAGTGACCAAGGCAGCTGGAGACAGTCCAAGCCTTCCCCAGTCTAGCCAGGAAAAAGAACACTCTCTAGTCGCCACTAGACCGGTGGTCCATCTGTCCACTCCCTCTGCCTTCCTCCTCTGACGACAACTACAGACCCTCTTGCTAAAATGGTTACCTCTATCACCAAATGTCAGAGAGAAACAAAAACTAAACCAGAATTTTGCCACGAGACAATGATGCCATCACAATGCACCTACACTTCCAGATCAATGGTTGACGGACAGGATGTGGGGACAGGAACTCCTACATGACTGGCGAGAATGCCAAATGGTACAGCCATGCTGGAGCACAGCCCATCAAGCGGAAGACGCCATGAGCCAGCCTTCAGCTTCTAGCTGCCGCCCCCGAGAAGCCCGGCTGCACCGTTTATGGAGCGAGCTGGAGGTCTCCAGCGGGGAAGGACACATACCCCAGGTCTTAGGTTACTTCCTGATGCTGCGGCTTCCCAGACTGACTCTCACCTGTGCCTCTTCGGCCCAAAGTCACTTGTTCAGATTCTGTGACTTCCAGAAAGGTACATGTGATGATCCTCCTGCTCTCCCCTCCCCGATCTATAAAAAGTATGTCTTCCTCTGCACTGGGAGGTGGTGTTTGAGTCCAACAGTAGGCTCTGCCTCCTTCATTGTTCTCACGGAGGAGCTGAGCACTGAGAGCTGTCCGTCGGCCTGACCTGCCTGACTGCCCAGCCCAGCCCAGCCCAGCAGGGGCTGCGGCTCAGCCTTGAACTGGGAAAAATCACAGGCAGCCCTCACTGGAGGCAGTGGCCTGGAAACTCGGCCTCGGGCTGTCTGCCCGTCACAGTTCATCATCGAAGAGCAAAATGTTCTTACTCACCATTCGCTTCTCTGGAAAGTGCCTGCTCTTTCCCAAAAAGCAGAGCCTCGGGTCACTTACCCAGTGACTCAGAGGAGCCCATGTTAACGCTCAGATTTAGGTCAAGCCACTGCGCTAGCTGTGAAGAGCCACCTGTTATCTGATGACAAAGGACATGTGACCATCAACAGCACACTTACAGGCGATTTGGATGCTCACGTTTTCAGACCCAGGCTCCCCACGGCAGAGCCCAAAGGAAAAGGGCCTGCTGGTCCTCAGGAGCTTGGAGCAGGCCCAGTGCATCCCCAGTACTTGCCACTGAGTTTCTGGGCGCAGTGTCCATTTCCTTCTGCTAGAAACAGGGGTCCCACCCTGAGCAGTGAGACGTGGACAGGCTGCTCCAGCTCACCGCGTGCTGCTCTCAGTCAGGGGAAGGGGGAAGGAGGGGAGGAAGGAAAGGTTGCTTACACAGATTCCATTTCCAAGTCATCGTCTTCCTGAGAAAGCTGTAGGTAGGGGTTGTCTGACGCTGGGCGGAACTTGTACCCGGTGAGAACAAAGAACACCAGCGTGGCCATTTCATCCAAGAGCTGCAAATTGAAAACACCCCAAACAAAGCAATGAGCACACTGTTCTTCGGAAAGCAGTGGAACCAAACAAGCTGCCCCCATGGTCTGCCACTCCTCAAACGCCAGAGCTGGCTGCTGGGGAGCATCTCCTTACAAGCTGTGCTGAAGCCTCAGCCAGGAGCCTTCTGCCCAGAGATGACATTCAAGACTCCTTGCTTCACCTGGAGTCTCCACTGCTATGTTTTAAGGGTCATCATATACCCACACTTTCTACAGTGCCTAACGCATCAAGCGATACCTTTTTTTAAAATCCTTACCCAAAGATATTTTTTTCCATTTATCTTTAGATAGAGTGAAAGGGAGGGATTAAAGGAGGGAGAGGGAGAGGGAGAGAGAAACATTAATGTGAGAGGGACACATCGACCAGCTGCCTCCCGCACAACCCCAACCAGGGCGGGGATGAACCACGACCAAGGTATGTGCCCTTGGCCGGAATCAAACCCGCCACTCTGGTCCATGGGCTGATGCTCTAACCATTGAGCAACCAGCCAGGGCATTGAGTATTTCAGGAAAAAAGTCTCCAAACCATTTGATGGCCTACCCCAGTAGTTAAACCAGTGCTAGTACACTGCAAAAATACTTCACTATTGAGATGCTAACTAGGAAAGAAGAAGGGAGGTCCGATTCCAAGCTGCTCTCAGCCCTGTAACTGGTGAGGAAGACCTGGATCACCTGGGCTTTCCTACAGAGTGCACCCGACTCTCTCCTGAGGCCGTCTCTTTGAAGACCTCTGGACGTGAACACTGAAATCAACACTGCAATGGCTTCCAGGTTCCTCATGTGCCCGCAGCTGCCCCGGGGGTCACCGCAACTGCAGCCCAGACGAGAGGGCCCTACTGGCCACTGCCAGGTAAACTGAAAACTCCGGCACAGCTCAGACTGGCCCCGGCCACCAACCCCCTTTCCTGCCCGCACAGCGCACCTGGTAGAGCCACTTCCACTGGAACGGGACTGCGAATTTGAGGAAAAACGCGATGATCCTGGTGAAGTATATGTAACACACGATCTGCACGAAGACGGAAGAAACGAGAAAATCAACAGAGAAATTTGGCACCATTTTCTTCCAAAGATTTGCTTTCAAATAAACTACAAAACAGGCGACAGAACTCCCCAGGGCATGATGACACTCATAGGGCTAATGTATGTCAGGCAGAGGGACGACTGCGCTGCTAGCCACACCTCAGGGGTCTCGCCTGGCTCTCGGGGCCGTGACACTGGTGACAGCACAGCCTGGGGAGGACGAATGTCTCCGTATGGTTGCTCTCCACTCCCGAGGAACCCCTCCCTCGCCCTCACACAGACACAACCCACTCATCTCAACTCCAAAGGGTAATCTTTTCATTCCTGGGTTAGAGGAATGTTTTCCAGTAGTAACAGCAAAAAAAAAGCCACAGGGAAATACTGACTCTCAGTCTCTGCAGCAGATGCTGGGACGTCCAAGGTCCACACAGAAGAAGCACCAATAATACTAAAGACTCTGGCAAGGGAGGGCCTGCTGAGGACTGACACGCTGGTCACTTGACGGTGGCCTCCTCACTGGGACCAGGGAAAAATGTCCAAAGAGACAGTCAATGCCAAAACCACAGATGAAGGATGGTCCAGACACTTTCTTATAGGAGGCAGGAAACACACTCCAAAGACCCATACCTTACATATTCCAAGAAATTATGTTCCAAATCATTTTAAGTCAGTCCTGCCTTTGGTTCTAATACTGTATGAACTTTTCATGTTCTTCTCAGTCCTGTTTTCAGGTGTGACCCCACTTTTGTAAATGAATAAAAAATCCAGTCAGCCCTGGCCGGTTTGGCTCAGCGGTTAGAGCGTCGGCCTGCGGTCCAGAGAGACCCGGGTTCGGTTCCCGCTAAGGGCACGTACCTCGGTTGCAGTTTGTCCCTGGCCCTGGTCGGGTCGTGCGGGTGGCAGCCACTCGATTGTGTCCCTTCCCGTCGATGTTTCTCTCTCTCCCTCTCTCTTCCTCCCTCTCCCTCCCACTCTATCTAAACAAACAAAAAAAAAAGTGGAAAAATGTCCTCGGGTGAGGATAAAAAAAAAAAAATCCAGTCAAAGGAGCATCTATGCCTAGAAGAGAACCTAGAGAAATAAATACTCAACTATTAACAGCGATTAACTATGGGGGAGGAGGAAGATCAGGGTCATAAAGGGCTTTGCTGTGTTTCTATAACCCTGGCTTGTAAAAATATTGAGCATGTATTGCTTTTCTGAGTATGTAAAGCCAAATTTAAAACTCAACTTAAGCCTGGTCAGTGTGGCTCAGTGGTTGAGCGTTGACTCATGCACCAAGAGGTTGCCAGTTCGACTCCTGGTCAGGGCACATGCCCAGGTTGTGAGCCCAATCCCCAGTGTGGGGCATGCAGGAGGCAACCAATCAATGTTCTCTCTCATCGATGTTTCTATCTCTCTCCCTCTCCCTTCCTCTCTCTAAAATCAATAAAGAAAAAAAAAATTTAAACTCGACTTAAGAAGCAAGTGGACGTTTAATTCCTCACACCTGAGGACACCAGCTGCTCTGGTGGAGTGAGTCCACCTGGCCCCAGGGAGCACCCGGCCCCAGGGAGCACCAGTCCTCTGGGAGCACCCGTCCTCTGGGAGCACCCGGCCCCAGGGAGCACCAGTCCTCTGGGAGCACCCGTCCTCTGGGAGCACCCGGCCCCAGGGAGCACCCGGCCCCAGGGAGCACCAGTCCTCTGGGAGCTCATTTGCTTTACTCCTTATTTATAGACTTAGGATTTTTTACTCACCAAGACGTAATAATGTCTGAAAAGTTTCAGCTTTGCTAAGTTAATAGCAGCTAGGGAAAAGAAAGAACAAAACAAAGGCTTGTTAACTTTTCTCACTTGAGATGGCAGCATTCAGGCACCCCTCGGTCAAGGGGCCACATCTAGCACAGGAACAATGCCCAGGGCACATCTGCATTTCCAGAAACGCAACCGCTGGGCCAGGTCCCCCAGCCACAGGAGGAGTTGGGAGCTGTGGGGGCAGCAGGCGGGGCTCCAGTGCACATCAGAGTGGCCGCACTGGGCACGCTGACACCACATCACTACAAATCAGGACTCCCCGCCCAAGCTTCTGTGAACTCTTCAGCTCTGCCACTGTGGCTGACAGAGCTGCGCCCCCAACCAGGAACAGACTCAGGTGGGTCCCTGAGCCATCTGGGGGAACCTTCACTAGTTCAGGGTGCAAATTTAAATTTCACTCAGATTTTCACTAAGTGCCTGGTAACAAGCCCTTTAACTACAACCTCCCAGGCTTTGTCCTGCCTCCATGACTGCTCAAGGTCAGGGAGCCTGGATAACTAACTTCCTGCTACCGCCTAAGGCCATGAAATATTGATGACCACAGAGGGTAGGCTGGCTCCCTCCCCAATTAGCAAGCCTTTCATTCATCATAAACCTTCCTGCAAGAGGCAAATTAATTTTGCTTAATAGCATTCAATTACTGGTTGCATTTAAGAGGGGACCTGTAGGTGGTGGAGGTTGGAATTTCTTTCTGCTCCCTCTGCCACATGATTAGTGGGGGACAGGCAAGCTTAGGATCCCAACAGAAATTCCTTAAACCCTAATCATCTTCAAGGTGAACAGTATCTGCAGGAATATCTTCTAGGACACCAAACACACTGATGAGAAGATGAGAAACCCTTCCTGGGAAATCCTAACCCCCCAAACCGAGAGGCAACACATCCACACCCAGACCGCGACGGCCGCGTGCGCACGGCCCTCTGGGGACTTGGTTCAAGTCCGCAGAGCAGCAAAGGCTTTCTTATCTGGCAACCTCTCTGGCAGTCTTGTGCTTTTTAAAATTAAATCTCTCTGGCCCTGGCTGGTTTGCTCCGTGGTTAGAGCATCGGCCCGCAGACCAGAGAGTCCTGGGTTCAAATCCGGTCAAGGGCACGTACCTCAGTTGCAGTTCAGTCCCCGGCCCTGATCAGGGTTGTGCATGAGGCAACCAGTCCATGTGTCTTGCTCGCATTGATGTTTCTCCCTCCCTCCCTTCCTCTCCCCTCCCTCCCCCTCCCTCCCACTCTATCTGAAGATAAACAGAAAAATATCCTCAGGTGAGGATTTAAAGAAAAAAATATATATATTAAATTAAATCTCTCTGGTTCTCAGCCATTTTTCGTTCACTCTTGACTCTGGGCCAGGCCCCGGGATGCAGCAGTGGCCACAGCAACGTGGCCTTTGCTGGGGGGGGGGGGGGGCTGCTGTTCCTCAGGAAAGAGTCCCTGAACCCCGAGCTACACTCTAGTACTCAGTGAACAGGGAGCCCCTGGTGAGCGTGACATGGACAGGCACCGTCCTTGGCGAGGAGAGCTGGGTAACTGCGTTCTGCAGACTCCCAGCTTCGCTCACTGGTAGGAACAAGCGCTCTTTTTGTTTCTGTGCGTGCTCCTGCTCTGACCGGCAGCGGTCCACGAAACACGGCTCACACCACAGCCTGCCCACACACCAGCCAGCCTCCGGGCGGCCCGCGCCAACCAGCAGATGGTTCTTGACCGAGAACACGCCATTCTCTTTGTGAAGAACTAGGAACAGACCAACAACTAGACCATTTAAATGACAAAAATGCCTTAAGTCTCTTCAGAATTGTGTTGTTGAGATAAACCCCGACGGAGGAAACGCCTGCCCTGGGAGGTCCAGCGAGACCCGTCAGCAGGGCAGAGGGGGCACAGGCATGGCCGCCGGGGCCACTCTGGGGAACGCGTCCAGACCAGGGGCGGGGTGAAAGAGGGGACTCCGAGGCGGCGGTGTCTAAGCAGAGGCCTGCGAGGGGCTCGGTGGGGAGCGAGAGTGGTGAGGCCAGGTGGAGTGCGCTCCGGAAGGTCAGCGCCGAGGCTCACAGGTGACCAGCATCACGCACTCACGCACGGGGACCAGAGAAGCTCAGTGCACCCAGACGTGGAGAGGCTGGGGGAGGCTGGGGAGCAGGGTTGGGCCGAGGGGATGCCAAGGGCCCCAGAGAGCCCCTAAAGGGTCTGAGGCAGGGCAGTGCCTTGATCACATCTACATTAAGATGCAATCTCTCTGGAGGAAGGACGGAGAGAATCAAAAGAGAGCCCAGCTGAGGCCGAAGCCCTTGGATTCGTGGAGTCCCTCTACTTACAGTGGTCCTCAACCTTCCTGATGCCGTGACCCTTTAATACAGTTCCTGATGTGGTCACCCCCAGCCATACAATTATTTTTGTTGCTACTTCATAACTGTAATTTTGCTACTGTTATGTCTTCGGTGACCCCTGTGAAAGGGTCGTTCGACCCCCAAAGGGGCTGTGACCCAGGTGGAGAAGCGCTGCACAAGGTACGAGGCACTTCTCAGTGCACAGTGGTGGATGGGCCAGCCAGTGAGCCAGGCTATTCCCGCCCTGCTGGTGGGCTGGGGGAGATGGAAAGACAAGGGGATGACACTGAGGACCAGAGAGATGCTTTGGGCAAAGCCTGATGGGTCTCCCCGCTTTCTCAGGGAAGGAAAGCAGGGGTGGGGGAGGGTGACTGAGAAAGCAGAGGGGCTCCAACCAGGTGGGCAGTGAGCGGGAGTGAGCGGGAGTGAGCGGGAGGCGCTGTCCTAACATCTCCCGGGCGTCACGCCTCCACCACGTCACCTGCAGCCCGTCACCTGCAGCCCGTCACCTGCAGCCCGACGTGAACCGCTCCGGCAATGAGCCTGCACACCCACACCTGGCCCCCAGAAGCAGCAGCACGGGCACTCAGCTCATGCCATCCAGGACACATGCTGGGACTGACAAAGGACCTTGGGAACAACCAGTGTTGTCCTTAAGAAATGCAGCCACAACAACAGAGCTCGAGGTTGTTCCCAAACCCACCCGTTGACAGACAGCATAGCTAGTCATGTGCAAGACGTCTGCTCTGGCCGGTTTGGCTCTGCGGTTGGAATGTCGGCCCTTGGACCAAAGGGTGGCAAGGTTCAATTCCCAGTGTACCTGGGTGGCGGGTCTGATCCCTGGCTGTGCAGGAGGCAACCAATCAATGTGTCTCTCTCCCTCCCTCCCTCCCTTCCACTCCTCTCTAAAAAAATCAATGGAAAAATATCCTCAGGTGAGGATTAACGACAACAACAAAATGACATTTGTTTATGAGACAACGGCAGTGGGATCAGGCTCCTGGGTCCTCCATGGGTGTCTAGTCACAGCTGAGGCAGTGAAGGCAGGGAGGAAGCTTATTTATTGTAGTAAAAAACAGGAGTTGGTAACAGTGCAGGCCCTGTACACCTGAACATCTTGGGTTCAAATTCCAACTCTGCTGCTTCCTGGCTGTGTGACTTCAGGTAAGTCTCCTAACCCCCTGAGTCTGTTTCTTCATCTGTAAACAAGAATAACAGCACCTACCACTGGGTTGTTGGGGCCGCGCACAGTGAGCACCTGATGATTGGCTGACGTTATAGTATCAGGACTGTTCTGAAATTGCATCATATCAACCAAACACCGAATGTGGCACATTCTGTGTCACATTGGCTGCCACCTCTGGCACAAATCCAGACTCTAGTAGTAAACGGGAACAAGTGGTGACCTGGGGACTGCCAGAGGGCCCTGGGCTCTCCGGGATGCAGTGCTGCCACGCGCACAGGATGATGAGTCAGCCTGCTGCACCAGGATGAACACCGCTGGGCACAGGAAACCTCACCAGCAGAATGCTCTGAGCAGTGATGCAGCAGGAAGCAGCCTGGAATCCCAAACCTCCCCGTTTTCTTCTAAAAAAGCTTTCCCTGGGGTTAAGAATGCTAACAGCTTGCTGTTTGCTGGACCACAGCAGGCTGGGCCCCGGGGACTATAAGACTCACCAAGTCTGGGCTGGCTATTTCTGACCCCACCACGAGAACAGCAAATATGGTAAAAGAATGAGCATGGTGAGAAGAAAAATGCCTTGGCCAGGAGCCAGGAGACCTAAATTCCATCCCCGGCACCATCATAACTCAGGGTGCAGAGCTGGGCTGGCACATCCTTCTCAGGGCATTGGTCTCCTCTTTTGGAGTTTCTTTATGCAATGCTGACAGCGAGAGCACCGGATCACCCAGAGAGCTCCACGCAGTGTGGATGCCCGGGCTGCCCGAGTCTTCAGCATTCTGGAAAACCTCCCGGGGAAGGGGAGGAGAGACTGGGGCAGGGAGGAGCATGTGCACCTGCTTCAGGAGCTCCTACAGGCTGGCCTGCTGTGGGATCCCTCTTCCTCTCATTCACTCTCAAAATGAAATAAATCGATAAAAGGCCAGGTCTCTGGATTTTGGCCCACACTTTCTACGGACGAGAACAGAACAAGTGCCCACGGAGGCAGAAGTTCCCATCCCTTTCAACTGCCCAACAAGCTAGTCCTGTCTGTGACCAGCAGTGAAGAGCAAACACAACCCGCCCAGGGGAGGCACCGCCCCTTCCCTAGACCTCTGCCTTTCCCTTGAAGCCACAGAGCAGCCAGCTAAGCAGGCTGGCAAGACGAGAGCCCGTCGTCTGCTACCTCCCCAGCACAGCCCTGGATGGTGCTGGAACCGCGACAATAACAAGAATAGCAGCGCTGGTCCTCACCACCTCCTGAGTGCTACCCATGTGCCAGGCACCGGGCTGGTCACCGTCCAGGCTTCATATCGTGTAATCCTCACAAGAATCTCTAAGAAGGAGGGTGTTATTACCACCACCTCACAGGTGACGGACTTAGGCCTGGAGGTTAGGAAATTACCAAGGTCACACAGCTAATAAGTGGAGAAGCCAGTACTCAAACCCAAGTTCAACTCCCTCCAAGGACCAAGCTCTCAATGCCCATACTTTGCACTAGAGAAAGGCAAGTCACAGCTCTGTAACCCACTGGTCGCTCAGAGAGACTCAATTAGGGCTCAGAATGCCAGGCAATGCCAGGAGCTGCCAGCAATCCATCTTGAGGAGTTAATCCTAACTGATTTATGGGACACAGAGCAAAGGCCCACAGCAGCCAGTTAAAGGGTAAAAAATTTCCAAAACAATCCTCCCCTGGTGTGAGGAAAGCCTCGAGGCCCTGAACATTCCCACCGACCCATCACCCTTTCCTGCTTCCTCCCTGCTGCGCTGCAGAGGGACTGAGAGCCAGACAGGAAAATGGAAGAAATAAGGGTGCAGGCGCAGCCGGAATGGCACCACTTGCGCTGGCTCCCTCTACAGCTCAGCACTCCCCTCTGCCGAGGCCCCGGGCTTGAGCACACCGGGCAGCTTCCCCGTGCTCAGCGTCAAGCACAGGCCTGAAAGCTGATCTGGGACCACACTGGTCCAAAAGTGTCCATTCTGGAGTGTGATTAGCCTAAGGGGTGCCACCTGGCCTCCACTAAGAGGAGATCCCACTAGTCCACCTCACAAAGACAGAGTCCACAGGAAGTACATGAAAGGCTGTGATGCCCTGGCCAGTGTGGCTCAGTTGGTTGGAACGTTGTCCCGTATACCAAAAGGTCGCAGGTTTAATCTCACCTGATCAGGGCACATACCTGTTTCAGTTTCAATCCCCACTTTCTCTCTCTTTCTCCCTCCCTCTCTCTCTGAAATCAATCAAACGTATCCTTGGGTGAGGATTAAAAGAAAGAAAGGAAGAGGCTATGATAAGATAAGAACTAGGTAGAGAATAAAATTTCTTGATTTTTCAACTGTTGTCACGTGCGAAGTGGTTCAAATACATTTCCAATATACATTTCAAACAATGACCCAGGAGTGATCTAAAGTCATCAAATTGAACAGTAAAGGGCCTTGCATCTCACTGTAAGAAAAATATCTTAGCCCTGGCCAATTTGGCTCAGCGGTTGGAGCATCAGTCTGCAGACCAGAGAGTCCCGGGTTCGGTTCCACTAGGGGCACGTACCAAAAAAGAAAAGTATCTTAAATAAGTAATAAATGCATCAAAGAAAGAGGCAAAAATAGCCCGAGAGTGGCTGATACCACACCATACTAGGAAAGACTAACTCAATAACAGTTCTGTAGTCAAATCTAGTAAGTTCCACCAGGCCGGTGTGGCTCAGTGGTTGAGCGTGGACCCATACACCAAGAGGCAGCCGGTTCAATTCCTGGTCAGGGCACATGCCCAGGTTGTGGGCCCAATCCCCAGTGGGAGACTTGCAGGAGGCAGCCAATTGATATTTCTATCTCTCTCTCCCTCTCCCTTACTAAGTTAATAAAGAAAAAAAAATTTTTTTTTTTTTTTATCCTCACCCGAGGATATTTTTCCATTTTTTGTACAGATAGAGTGGGAGGGAGAGAGAAAGAGAAACATCAACATGAAGGGACACATCGAGTGGCTGCCACCCGCACGACCAACCAGGGCCGGGGACAAACTGCAACCGAAGTACGTGCCCTTAGCGGGAACCGAACCCGGGTCTCTCCAGACCGCAGGCCGACGCTCTAACCGCTGAGCCAAACTGGCCAGGGCAAGAAAAAATATTTTTTAAAAAGTCTACTAAGTTCCTGCCTCTTACCTTTACCTCCCTTCTGCTCTAGAACCCCACCAAAGGCCCTGCTGGAGGAGGGGCCCTAAGGGCCCACGCCCATCTGTCTCTGCGCAGCCGCAGTGCTGGGAGCAGAGGCTGCCCCACCGCACAGTGGGGCTGAGCTGCGGAACACACTGCTCCCAGCAGTCCACCACACACATTCGGTCAGCAACAGGCTGGGCCAGGAAGTTCAGACGTGCTGTTGTTTGAGGAGGCAGCCTGTTCAAGAGCAGACGCTTCTCAGTAAGACAACCTGACCTCCCTGGATACTGGAGTAATTAACCTAGAAGAATTGGTTTCAACAGTCTCCCAAGACTTGCAGAAAGTGAACGCATGCTAACACCACCAGGCACAAGAACTATGCCAAACCTGGGGAGGGCATGCCAACCCAGACTGCTGATTAGGAACACTGGGGGCTGAGGCCCCCACGGTAGTTAGTTCCTAATGTGTTGTGTTTTTTTTAATCCTCACCCAAGGATATATCTTCAGATAGAGTGGAGGAAGGGAGAAAGAGGGAGGGAAACATTGATGTGAGAGGGACACATCGACAGGCTGCTTCCCGCACGACCCCACCAAGGGCTGGGGATGAACCGCAGCCAAGGTACATGCCCTTGACCGGAATCGAACCCCGGGCTCATCGGTCTGTGGGCCGACACTCTAACTCAGATCTGTCAGTATCAGCCCTGCTCCCATAGAAGCCTTTTCAGAACTGAAAGTTCTCGAGCTTGCAGTGGTGGATATAACTTTTCTTAAATGAAAAATTGTGCTCTCAAATGAGAATTAGGTCACTGGTAGCAAATGCTTGTAGTTGTTTTCCTGCAGGGACATGCTCACTTTGTTCCTTTTCAAGAAAATGTCAAATCCTCTTGCAGTTCATCAACATGCCGACTGGGTGTTCGCGCTCTTGTGAGAGATGTGCCTCCCTCAAACCTGTTACAGCATCGGCACACTACCCGTCTGATACAAAACAATGTCTGCCAAAAGCCAAGTCCAAGCAAGTCACCACAATTTGACTGTCATCATTCTTTCAGATATAGATGATGTCCCAAGAGGAAAGTGGCCAGTTGAGCTGGCAACTCAGACAACTGGCATGTCTCCCTGAGAGCGCTCACGCTGGGCGCCCGCGACGTGCTCTCTGCACACTGCCCGCTCATCGCACAGAGGGTGAAGTCACGGCCGTGCAGTTTCCACCGTTTCATCAAGGCCACTCTCGAAACGAGTCCTTTTCACCCCCTGCAAGGAGGGGCAACGAAGGACATAATGGCCACTGACACACGTGGGTGCCACTGCTCTGAACCACGCTAAGGTGCCAGCTCTTTTACCCACTTCTGCTTTTACACTGGTGCAAATGTCAAAAAAGGCTGAGTGTGTCTTATTAAAAAATAGTTTGAGCCTGAAGACCCTCTTGAGAACTGCTGCCCTGACAAATCCTTACGGCCACAGCAGCTCGGCATGAAGCCGTTCCGCCATAAACCCTACAACTAGCCGATTGCCACTAGCTTACATGCTTTGGAAGCTCACTCACATAAAGGCTAAAATTCCTCAGAATCAGGCCTCTAAAATTTCTGCAGACACATAATAAAAGCCAGATAATCAGGAGCAGAAACAGTGAATTAAATGTACAGCGTATGTCCCCAAGCCAGTCTTCGAAGGCAACAACACTGGAGAAAGAGCAGCAGGCGGGACGCAGGCTGGAGGCAGGATAACCCTGGCAGGCGACAGCGGGACCACAGCTAGGTGTGCCTGTGCAAGACTCAATTACGCCTCCTCCCAGAGGACACAGCGCAGTGACTCTAAGAACGGATCTGACAGACGGCTGTGTGACAAAAGAGACAAAGATACAGCTTAAGGACAGTGGGCAGCTTCGTCCTTAAAGTTTCCCTCAGGTTCACTCAATCAAAAGGAATCCAGACACAAAGAAGCAAACAGAACCCAAACACCCCTCGGAAAGCCGCGTGCAGCCCTGGACACAGGAGAACTACACACGGCGTCTCCCCCACTTGCAGCCAGTCATCCTGCACTGCACCCACACTGAGTCTTAAGCCCAGGTCAGTGTCAAGGTCACACGCTGGGTCTGCGGAATAATGAGCCTGAGAACAGGCTCCATGCAGCAAACTGCTTCTGAATCCAGGAGGCATTACTGCCCATGGCCCTCACTGTGCAGCTGCCTCGAGGACAGGATGGAACCTCAGGAGGGTGAACTGAGGAGCAGAGGACCAACCACAATTCCCGGAACCAGCGGTGGGTCAGCCTGGGGCTCACTCCAGCTTCCTCGTACCACCTTGCCTCTGCCTGGAGTGGACGATCAAGGCACCGCCACGTTGCACCACACCCGAGGCTGGCTTCCCAGCACTGGGGGTGGGGTGGGAATAGGGGTGTGCTGGTCTTGCAAGTTCTCTGCAGGGCAGACTTCAGCTTTGGGAACAGGCTGCCCACACTCTGGAAGTGTCACAAGCATAAGCATTTTTCAAAGTATGGGCTGAAATATGCATTTGTGTATTAGCTTAAATGCATCCCATGGCCTAAATCAACTCTGAAAAAACACGAATCAAGAAGACACCCCTCGCTCGGCCAGTGTGGCTCAGTGGTTGAGCATCAACCCATGCACCAAGAGGTCGCCGGTTCAATTCCCGGTCAGGGCACATGCCCAGGTTGTGGGCCAAATCCCTAGTGGGGGACATGCAGGAGGCAGCCAACCGATGTTCTCACTCATCGATGTCAAATCAATAAAGGGGAAAAAAAAAGAAGACACCCCTATTCTAATCTACTCTGTCTCCCTTTCAAAGGTTTCATGATATTTGCTGATTAGATGTGGGTGCTTTCTTAACAGTTTGCCATCCTGAGAACAGTGAAGGAGAGCCCTGCCTTGTGTGACGTCAGTTCCATATTCGCTCTCTGCTGTCACCTGGTGGAACAAAGGAGGAACTGCCCCATGTGCCCCAGGTGATACAAAAGCCTGCCTATGCATCAAGTTTCTTTTTACTACAGCTGCTGGGGAACAATTAGATCCACCCTGGGCTTCACCTGCTGTGCTATCGACCCTGCCAGAGGTTTGGTAAGTCCTCAGTCATGACCAACCTCTCATGGGATAAATGGTCACAGAGACAGTTATCCCCAAACCCTCTGAAGGCAAGGTGGCAAAGGAAGAGACAGAGGAACCAGAATGATGGAGTGAGGAAGGACCAGAGGAACTCATGAAGAGGGAAGGATGAAGCCGATAAAAAAAAGTACAGATTAAATTTATCAACCAGAAAACACTGCCCTTGGGATTCTCGAACATTTTCTGCCACTGTCAGAAAACAAATCCAAAAATATTTAAATGTATAAAGACAAAAAAGTAAAATGTCTCATCTCAATATAATGAATTAGAGAAGACCTATTCATTAAGTCACTAAAATAACAAATGCATCTTATAATGTGCATTGATGAAGACCAAAAAAAACAAAAAAACACCCAAAAATATCCCCAAACTATTATTCCCAGAAGATAAGTGTTTATTTTCTTCTACTTTGGAAATTTTCTGTTTGCAACAAGGTGCTTTATTTAAATTCTAATTTGTGTTTTATGTTCTGCAGTTTTCCTTTACCCTATTTCCAGGAGCCAGGAGGGCTCTCTGAGTTCCGTGGCTTGGAGAAAGGCTGAGCCAGGCTATAATCAGATTTCTGGGGTGGGCCTTGGGAGACAGGACTCGGCACTGTCGGGGGCTCCCAGCCTAGGCAGGACCTTTACATACCAGGCTGCCCCAGCAAGAGCATGACATGCCGGACAGCAGGCATCTCCACAGCAACCACTGTGGCTCAAACCAGAAATAACCCGAATGCTGTGTTCTAGAAACGCCAGGAGCTTGCCCAACACTGGAGTGAAGCCTTGAAGTTGGGTTTAATTCACTTTAAAGAAAATAATGTGACATTAATTGCATAGCAAGGATGAAATAAAATTGGTTATCTATTACCTGTTTTCCAAATTTTCTAAACTGAATCCACATTACTTTTTAATCAGAAAACAGAGAAACAAAAATCACATTTAACAACGACAAATGAACACCCTGCTCCAAGAACACTACTATCAGCACTGTGTTGATTTCATGGATCCAGAGGCAGCCCGGACTTGCAGAGCACTGTTCCCGGCCCCAGTGGTCTGAACCCCTCAATGCCAGGACAGCCTGCAGTCATGGGCACTACTCCGATAAGCCCGGAACACACAAAACATTCCTTCTATTCTGACTTAGAAGGTATGGTTGGAAAATCAAGAAGATGCAAAAGGGCTTTTTGGCACAACCATTTAAAAATCACGTTTTAAAGGTTCTTTCCGGCAGCAGGCTCATAAATTAATACCAACACATCTATTTTGAAAGCGTGTTAAATCAGCAGGGACGGATGTTTTACAGAGCCGTCCCAATCCATAAAACCTCCTGTTCTCACAGTGAAGTGTTACCTGGTCCATCCAAGACAAGATTTTCTCTTTCTGACTCAGTTTTAACAAGGTGAAAATCACGCTTATGAGTGGAAATGACACGAATCATCTTATAACAAACGGCAATCACCCCCAAGCCTCCTTATACAACAGGTCTCTATGCTGTTCACCACCTTCTTCTTCACCAAACAATGCCCTGCTGCTTTTACAAAGCCCCCAGCTGCCCCCAGCTGGGACACCCAGCCTGCTCCTGCCCCTCTTCCTCCACCTGCCAGGTGAGCCAAGCACGTGGCTTCAGGGAAGGCCGAGCAGCACAGGAGCACCAGGGAACTTGCCTTTTCCATCTGTTGCCGATGCTTCTTGTAAATGCCTGATTGACCTACAAATAAACATTTGGAGAACAAAAGGTCAGCTAAGAAATTTGTACTCTTATTTCCAGGGCTAGTAACTTGAGGCCTTGAATCCCTCAATTATAAACTTAAAGGGTTAAACTAGATAATTTCAGACATTCTCCCCAACCGTATGATCTCTGATAATTAATACTTCCCCATGTATGGTGCTCAAGCCCAAGAATTAAAGATGCCCTCTGCTGACCAAAAACAGTCTGGCAGAGGCCTGGGCATGAGGAGAAAACAAAACATTCCTGATCTCTCTACCTACTCTCTCATTCCTACAACTACCCCCCATCCCCCACCCAAAACTAAGAGCATCACTGAGTTCACTTGCTCCCTGGAGACAATGGACCCCATAAGGTAGCCACAGGCCAACTTCTATAGTGTAGGTCTAGTGTTATGGGTGGAAGTGAGGTATCCCTTTCTTCAATGAGTGCTTGGGGTGGGGTCCTTATGATATCTTGAGGAAAAGGCTCTTCTGAGATTCGCAAGGGAGGATGAGTGACTTTTATTTGAGTGGAATTACATCCTTGGGTTTCCAAAGTCCCGTTTCCCTTCATGCAGCCGTAGAAGATGTGCAGCTGGGGATTTAGCGGAGCTAGAAGCCAAGCCAGCATCCAGAATTCCCGTTCCATGTGGGAGCTAGGTTCGGTTTAGCATCAGGCTAGTTGCAGTCCATTGTGCAGGGTTCACAGGCTGTGAGCCATGTGGGTGAAAGCAGGGGTGTGAGAGCCCTGCAAGCCAGGAGTCCCAGGAGTCCCCAAAACACGAGAGCACAAAGCTCTACCCAAGAAAGCAATGAGTGCAAGAGAGCAAACTCCTTTGTTTATGTGATTAAATATCTCAAATTTTCCTGGGCTTGCAGTGGCCACGCCTACTCTGGCCAACGACCAGTTTGTTTCCAGGTGTGACTGACAGGCAAGTACCTTCCCTATGTCACCCAGACTTTACTGGACATGCATCTGTTCTTCCCCTAACCAGACCCTTCTTCCAACGACCTGTGGGGCACAGACCAGTGGCTTTCTGAGGAGCGTTAAACTGCAGCTTCCTGGCAAAGCTGCACAAATGACACGCCTGTACTATTTGGCCTTCCCCTTGCTCCTTTCCAGTTATTGATAGCTGGATTAGTTGCAACAGTATCATTAGGAACTGTGAAGACATGGCTTCGTATAAACACAACCTTTCATTGACTAGAGATTTACAACTTGGCTGAAAAATGCAGGCCTCCAGGGAGTCTTTTTTTTTGGCTGGGACGTGTGGGTAACTAATGACCGTCATTACGGTTTAGGCAGGAGAACGTTAATATGATTAAAGAAGCTGCAGATCAGAGTTGTAGGCAGAGTTCAAAGGCACCATGGCAAAGACCGTCTTGAAGGAGGAGCACAGCACAGGCAGCGATGGGGCAGGGGAGAGAGCCAGACCTGGGCCAGAGTCCTAACAGGTCCACCACTCTCCACTTGACCCTGAATGAGTCTTTTCTCTTAAAACCCTCATGGTATGCCCACCTGTGAGAACTGACCAGAACAGCATGTGAAAGTAAGTAGCACCGAATTAAAAAGGTGGCTGAATTGGAATCCTTTTTTTTGATATAGTAAGAGTTTATAATTAGGATGCTCAAAAATGAATGATTTGAGACTTAGTATTTAAAAATGAATGTTCAGGCCCGGCCCCTGTGGCTCAGTGGTTGAGTGTTGGCCCATGCATCAAGAGGTCGCCGATTCAATTCCTGGTCAGGGCACATGCCCAGGATGTAGGCCCGATCCCCAGTAGGGGGTATGCAGGAAGGGGCCAATCAATGTTCTCTCTCATTGATGTTTCTATCTCTCCCTCCCCCTTTCTCTCTCTCTCTAAAAAGCAATAAATAAATTAAAAATAAAAATGAATGTTCTTACGTAACAAAAATGAAACGTAAACAAATATATTAGACAATAGTTATAGTAAAGAATATGCTGTAAGCCCTGGCTGGTTTGGCTCAGAGATTAAAGTGTCAGCTTGTGGACCAATGAGTCATGGGTTCAATTCCGGTCAAGGGCACATACCTTGATTGCGATTCATCCCCGGCCCTGCTTGGGGTCGTACGGGAGGCAGCCACTCAATGTGTCCCTTTCATGTTGATGTTTCTCTCTTTCTCTCTCTCTCTCCCTCTCTCTCCCTCCCACTCTATCTGAATAAAAATGGAAAAATGTCCTCAGGTGAGGATTGAAAAAAAAAGAATATGCTGTAAGAATGGGAGTAAAAGCTATTTGGTTCCCCGTGGTACACCAACTCAGAAGATTTTAGTTATAAACAAGAGGATGATGCAATTTCTGACGTAATTAAAACTGGGTAAACCACAACAGGTGTGTTCCTCAAATAGTTTGCCAAGTATCTGTCCATGTCTATTACAGCTGAGCAAATGAGCGAGCACAAATAGTTATATCCTTAATATGTACATTGTTAAGAGGTCGATGTCTTCTCATTTACTGTAACTTCTCCAATTCATCTAGTCTCCACACTAGCTATTACCTTTCTAAATACCGTGCATTCCATGTCCAAATGTGGTGCTTCTTAAATTGCTTCTCTAGTACTTGATTTTTCTCATTTTATGGCAATTTTCAGAATAGTTACCTTGAAGAAGGTTGCCATGTGGCATCTGCTTGTTAGTGTTGCAATTAACGAGTGATAGGCAGTGGCTATCTGTAGCTCTGTAGCATACCTGGCTCTCCCCAAACCCCGCTGACCCTTCCACTTTGCTAAGTGGCAGGTGTGAGTAAAGTCTTACAATAAGATGCTCTTTCTTCCTTCTTTAAACTTTTATATGTTTATTTGAGCCAAACTGATGATATATGCTGGAGAACATGATCTCAAGTGCTCCCAGAATGCTTGCCATCTGAAGACAATGCTGATCACCTTGTCACACATGCCTGAGTTAACTCATTTGTGGGCAGGATGCAAAGAGGTTGTAGAGATTAAAAATCTCATTTGTACTCTCTTCTCTGCTGAACTGATACATGTACACACGTGACGTATGATGGAATGAGGGTTAAGAATGAATCTAGCCCAGCTAGTGTGGCTCAGTGGATTGAATGTCATCCCATGGACTGAGAGGTCCCGGTTCAATCCCAGTCAGGGCACATGCCTGGGATGCAGGCTCAATCCCCAGTAGGGGGCGTGCAGGAGGCAACCAACTGATGTTTCTCTCTCACATGGATGTTTCTATCTCTCCCCTCCTCTCTCTCTAAAAAGTCAATAAAAACATATTTTTAAAAAAGAGTGAATCTAATTGGCTGAACGAGGACTACACTCCATTGGCACCATTTTCTAAATAATTAGAATAAGTAAATGACCTATAAACCCAGGATCCTAAAAAATATTAACTTAAGTGCATGGAGATTTGCAATGTGGAACACCTCACTTCTAATAGAAAGCAAGTAAATCTACTTTTTAAAGTTTCTTCCAAAAGAATTAACCGCTTTCAAGTAGCTACGGAACTAGATCATTGTAAGGGAATGTTTTATTTTTGCTCATCTTTTCCCCACTACTTGCTTCCCATTGAACCAAGAACTTCCTGTACTATGCATGAGACTGAATGAGGAGACTTTCTCTCATCAAGCACTGACTTGGCACTGGTACTTCTTAGCAAGCCATGCATGCAAAGTCTGCCATTTCCTGGAGTAAAGGAACCCACTCTGAAGAGGTCTAGACTGTTCATGTGCTGAGAGCTAGCATTAGTTTCACATTAAGGCACTTCTTCCTTATCATCTACCTTGGCGAGAAAAGCTCTTTTATGGGATTTCTTCAACTCCCTTCCCGCCAAATCTGTGCAGCTATTTTACATTGCTGCTAAGCTCTTATTATCAGACACTTCTCTATTGTCCAGCCCACACTAAAAGCCAGCCGTGGTATCCAACCAGCTCCATCAGAATCCACTGGGGAATCTGACAAGACACAGAAGCCAAAGTCCTGCCCTGGAGACTGATCCATGTCAGTCTGGGACCCAGGAGGCTGTATTTTTTACAGATGCCCCGTGATTCCCAGTTTGGGAATGGCTAGCACAGACAAGCCTTGTGGTGTGCCCGTGGCCCCCCTCCCCGCGGGTACTCACCACACCACTGGGAAGAGGATGGCCCCACAGCACAGCAGGTCCACCAGAAACAGAGAATCCTTCCACAAGGCGTACTCAGTTGTCCCCTCCTCGGTGGACTCTATGATGATGTAGGCCACATTGGCCAGGACCTAGAGGACAGAGAAGTCGGTAAGGCCTCAAAGCATGGGTAGATTTCCACAACAGCAGCCCCAGAAAGGGGTGGGCACCTGGGCCTAGAGGCCCCAACCTATGGCCACAGCAGTGCTCCCACGTGCTCGCTCTCCCACCATGCAGTCTGGCTGCTCCGACCAACAGAGTCACGTGGGAGGGACGCTATGTGATGTCCACGGAAGTGCTCCCACGTGCTCGCTCTCCCACTATGCAGTCTGGCTGCTCCGACCAACAGAGTCACGTGGGAGGGATGCTATGTGATGTCCACGGAAGTGCTCCCACATGCTCGCTCTCCCACCATGCAGTCTGGCTGCTCCGACCAACAGAGTCACGTGGGAGGGACGCTATGTGATGTCCACAGCAGGTCATACAAAGGGCACGGCTTCTGCCTGGCTCCCTGTCTCAAGAAACACCTGCAGAGCCCAGGGTCTTCTTGTAAGACGTCTGCCTGCCCTGAAGCTGCTATGCTGGGGAGACCAGGCAGAGATACAGGAAGATGCCTGAGCCCCAGCTGTCCCCAGTCCATATGATCGAGTCACTCAGCCCAGAGAAAGAGGCAAGTAGAGACTTCAAGAGGACCCAGCCCTGGCCACTGTCTGACTGTAATTGCAGGGGACAGCAAGTCAGACCTACCCGGTTAAGCCACTACCGACTACTGACCTACAGAAAACTCAAGAGAGAATAAATGATGGTTAAGTCACCAAGTTTACGTGTGGTTTATTGTACAGCTACAGCTAACCAGGACACCTGGCTTCTCGGGCACCCTAGGCTCAACAGGCACCCAGGTGCTGCACCCGACTTCCTGTTTAGCCACACTGCCCAGATTCCTCAGGCCCAAGGTCTCTCTGCGTGGGAACCTGGGATTCTCAGTGACAGTAACTCTTCTCAGTGCCAGATGGTGTCATCAGAGATCAGAGCGGCAAGAATGGCTGAGGGGCAGAGGAGCCCCGTCGCTCCCCCCAGGAATAACTCCCGTCCAGGTCCTCTGCGTGGGACACAGCTCAGTCCTTCCCCAGGAAGTTCTGCTGCGTCCATGCTCTGCCTCTATTTCCAGTTAAGGCTCTGTCTTGTGTGTTCAGTGCTGTTATTAAGCTCTTAGCATGTTGCGAAAAGTCCTACAGCTGGTGAAACTGAGACAGCAACACCTGAAAACCTGTGATGCTCTTCAGCCTATGGGCAACCATCGGAGACAGTCCTCTGAAGACCACCGCTAGGTGCGGACGAACAGAGAATCCCTCCACCACGGTCCCAAACACTCTGCTTGACTTGCTGTCTGCAATGGTCATTTTCCACTTTAACAAAGAATGCAGAATCTGCCCTGGCCGGTTTGGCTCAGCGGTTAGAGCGTCGGCCTGCGGTCCTGAGAGACCCGGGTTCGGTCCCCGCTAAGGGCATGTACCTCGGTTGCAGTTTGTCCCCGGCCCTGGTCGGTTGTGCGGGTGGCAGCCACTCGATGTGTCCCTTTCACATCGATGTTTCTCTCTCTCTCTCTCTGTTCCTCTCTCTCCCTCCCACTCTACCTGAACAAAAAGTGGAAAAATGTCCTCTGGTGAGGATAAAAAAAAAAAAAAGAATGCAGAATCTGTTGTGCTATTATTGGGAAGTCTCCAAGTGCAGTTTCTCTTTCTGTCTAGGACTTACCAGTTAAATCATCACAGAAGCCACACTTCGTTTAACACTAATGCAAACATGATTCTGAAATTTCAGTCTTCCACTGACACCCAGTGTCTGGTTCCTCCCGAGCCGGTCTGGCCCCCGCGCCTGCCCCGGGCTCTGTCTGCAAAGACGGGGTGGAGAGCAGCTTTCACAGCTTGCATCCCCAGTGGCACCTTGTCCTCGGTTCCTCTCCTCGAGCTGCGGTGTGCACCAGCCGGCAACAACGCTCCGGAGACCATTTCTCCAGCCCTCACTCCTCCTCAGACATGTGTAGTGGCCCCTCATGGCCAAAAAGAACAGCTTTAACTTTTCAGGTTGATGTTCAGGCCTTCCCAGACTAGCCCCTAGGTTTAAATCAGCATAACTCCCGTAGGTTTACTTGCTAAATGCCGTTTCCTGCCCTGGCCAGTTTGGCTCAGCGGTTAGAGCGTCAGCCTGCGGTCCGGAGAGACCCGGGTTCGGTTCCCGCTAAGGGCACGTACTTTGGTTGCAGTTTGTCCCCGGCCTTGGTTGGTCGTGCGGGTGGCAGCCACTCGATGTGTCCCTTCACGTCGATGTTTCTCTCTCTCTCTCCCTTCCTCTCCCTCCCTCCCACTCTATCTGTACAAAAAAATGGAAAAAATATCCTCGGGTGAGGATTAAAAAAAAAAATAAAATAAATAAATAAATAAATAAATAAATAAATAAATAAATAAATAAATGCCGTTTCCTGGGAGGGACCTGCAGGTAACCCTGTGTGCTGCTCCTCGGGAGGAACAAACACAGACAGCGGTGGGGAGGCTGAGCCGGCCCCAGCAGTTTAGGCCGGAGGAGGCTCGCACAGAAGGGGCGGGAACAGTGCTCGAGGGAAGGGACACAGGGAGCAGTGTGGCGGAGCAGGAAGAGGCCCAGGCCCAGCCTTCGTGAGCTCTAGACCCTGGCCGGTGAAGTGGCCCTGGTGGCTCAGCAGCCAGGACCTGGCCAGCAGCTCCTCAGCAACTCTGTCCACTAGACAGCAGCTCCCATGTTTCTGCTCTTCCTCTTTTGCCCGTCACCTTTGTCATCTTTCTTTCCTTCAGTGTCTAGGCAAGGCACACCTACACACAAAGCCTCCCCGAGCAGTCGAATTGGGTGACTAGTCTTCCCTTGGAAACCTTCAGCAACTGGCCTGTACTATCTGTTTGGCGGAAACATGTACCCACGGCCAATCCACCATCGCCGGAGCTGAGCGGGCTGATCTGGGCGTCCTGAGAGCTATCCTCTCCCTCCCCGCACCTGCCACATTTTCACTGTGCTCTGAAACGAGTTCAGGTGACGAGAACTTGATGGAACAGATGCGCTTCGGTCGAGCAGAGTACTTGTGCGTTCCTGCCAAGACCGCTGTTTACCACGAGCTCTTTCTGTCCTGGTGCTGCCTCCGGTAAGACTGCTATGCATCGTAAGACAAAATTCCTCCCCTGAAGCTGGCCTCGGCACAGGGCCCCAAACACAGGGAGACTAATAAATGTCTGCCCTGAGGGCTACTTAATATTCTACCTTGTGGGAACTCACTGGTGTCATTCACAGTTTTAAAACACTATGTTAACAAAATCGCTATGTACTTGAGCTTCTCTGCTAAGAGGACCATTTGGTCACAGGGCACACAGGTGCAGAAGAGAAGAGAAGGCAGTACGTGCCCCCAGCTTCCCAGCAGCAGTGCAGGTGTCCACATGACCGTTTACAGATGACTGACAGTCAAACATCTCCCAGTGCAATGACCTGAGGCCTAGGCCTGCCAGAATTCAGAAACAGAATCCCCAATTGCAAAAGCTGGGTTTTCTGGGTGGGCCGGGCCCCTCCTCCCAGACAGGCCTGGAGCTGCTAAGTGCTGAGACAGAACCAGAACAAGCAGATTAGCGGCCCTTTACCTGGAGTGGGATGACAATCATGAAGATCTTTTTGTCTTTATCGGACAGGATGTGCTTAATGAAAGCCCAGCCAGTGCCAATGAGCGCAATGGTGATGAACAGTAGTGCTCCTTTCAAACTGAAAGAGAAAAACTTTAGCAGACACGAATGGTCTCTTCAGACTCCTACCCTTCGAATTAGATTCTATAGCTCAGCTAATTTCAAGTGCTTCTTCCAAAAGACAGGTGGCCGCCCTGGCTGGTTTGGCTCAGCGGTTAGAGTCAGCCCACAGAGCCCTGGTCGGTTTGGCTCAGCGGTTAGAGCGTCGGCCTGCGGTCCTGAGTCAGCCCACAGACCACAGAGTCCCAGGTTTGATTCCAACTAAGGGCACGTACCTAGGTTGCAGTTCATCCCCAGTCCTGGTCGGGGTCATGTGGGAGGCAACCAGTCAACGTGTCCCTCTCATGTCAATGTTTTTCTCTCTCTCACTTTCTCTCCCTCTCTCTCTACCTGAAGATAAACAGAAAAAACAAACAAAAAAGACAGGTGGCCAAATTCAGAAGTTCATCTTAAGTGAGCAACACTTTCTTCCAGGTACAGAAATAGTTAGCTATGGACACCATTACCTGAGTGGCCAGTCCCCACAAGGAGGCAACCCCCTCCCAGGGGCACACCAACAGCCCTGAGTTCTCAAGTCTGAACAGCTCCCTGTATGCCACACACCTCTGGCATGGCAGGAACCCAGACAGGCTGCCACAGGAGGGTGGGGCCAGTCCATCTTGGGCAGGTCTCTTCCTGCCACAGCTTCCCTGACATCCCTCGTATGTCACCTCCTGGTGTGAGTGCGTCACGAGTCACCCTGCATACTTACAGGTGAGTGATGTAGTACACAACTGCCCAACCTTCGATGGGAAAGCCCTGGGAGGAGATGTAGTGGTAGTCGATCTGCAATCAGACAACGGCATTTCAGAAAGGTCGATGACCAGCCACCGCCCCAGTGCAGTCAGACCGGAAATGCCACAGAGGACCTCCTAACGGGGGTATCCAGTGACTCACTGGTCAATCCACAATAAAACATGTGAGTGCAGTCACGTGTCAGCTGGCCGGAGACACTGAGTTTCAGTGCTACTGGCACCCAGCCCAGGTCCCCTCTTGAGGCAGGTGATTCGCCCTGCAAATGGCTGCCTACTCTGTTTCTCAAAGCTCCACGTTCCACCGGCAGGGGTGGCTCAGTGGCTGAGCGTCGACCCACGCACCAAGGGGTCCCAGTTCGATTCCCAACCATGGCACATGCCCAGGTTAGGGGTCAAATCCCCAATGTGGGGCATGCAGGAGGCAGCCGATCAATGTTTCTCTCTCCCTTCCTCTCTAAAATCAATAAAAACATATTAAAAAAACAAAACAGAACCTGGTCCAAATAACTGATGAATACATTCTGTTGATTTTTTTTTAACTTCCACATTTCAAATGCCATAGGTCTTCTCAGTGTCCCAACCAAGAACTTGACCTCTCACATGCCAGCTCCCCTAAGTGCGTCAGTCACTCAGTCAGAAAAAGAATCTGTGTTCTTTGAAAACAATCTGTAAATTTAGAGCTACCTGAAGCCACCAACTCGTTTTAATGAAAGGGGCAAGTTCCAGGAGCGCACCTCAACTGCTCCTGGCAGAACTCGCAAAGGTGATACGCATCTGACACTGTTCCCTCTATCACACGTGGCTGCCTACATGTCAGTGACTCAAGGATCCTATCGTTCATTATCTATATGGTTCCAGAGAAAAATCTTTAACTCAGATCCAAATAAGAGATGAAACAAATAACTGCATCTCTTGAGACCGTGACCGGATATTACTTTTTCTGTAACAACATTTTTAAGAGCAGAAGGAGCACGTGTCTGAAGACTGCCACCTGTGGGTGCCTTGCAGGCCTACAAACTGGGCAAGTCGTGATCTCCCTCTCCTAGGCAGGCTCATGTCAACTCACGATCAGGATTAAATATTCAAAGCTTCTGTTCAATTTTACACCTCAATGTGCAGTGTCAACTTTCTCTCAAGTGTGCCAACACTGAACTTCAAATGGGAACATAAAGGTTTGGAAAAAGGGAGGGAGTTGTGGAAACACTTCAGCAGGTGGCACTCTAACCTCAAGAAATGACCCAAACTTGCCCTGGCCGGTTTGGCTCAGCGGTTAGAGCATCAGCCTGCGGTCAAGAGAGACCTGGGTTCGGTTCCCTCTAAGGGCATGTACCTCGGTTGCAGTTTGCCCCCGGCCCTGGTTGGGGTTGTGCAGGAGGCAGACACTCAATGTGTCCCTTTCACGCTGATGTTTCTCTCTCTCCCTCCCATTCTACCTGAACAAAAATGGGAAAATGTCCTCAGGTGAGGATAAAAACAAAAAGAAATGACCCAAACCACCAAACAAAAACAAAGACATAAAAACAAACGTGTGTTCTAGGAAAACTCTGGGCCAATAGCTGATATAGAGGGTGTCTCTGTCTGGTTGTAGGGAGGCTGTGATGCTTTACGCCATGACCAGCCCCACCAGGTCAAAGGAGGCGTCACAAGAAAGGCATCTCACCTGTTTCCCACAGATCCCCTTTCTCCTACACTGATTTTCCCTGATCGCACAGGCATTGTACATCATTTCATAAACGACCCCAAAATACTAATACATACCGCATGGAACACCAAAGAAAGAGACTTGGTGAAAGGAAGGGCTGCCATCAACCAGTGAATCTTAAATACATCATTCCTATAAAAACAGAAAGAAAAGAATGAAGGAAATATTCCATTCTCTCACAGGACAGCCATCAGACATATTTATAAGGAGGCAGTAAATACAATCCAAGCAAACCATAAACATGAAGCCTTTTTTTAAAAGTCGCTTCTTCCCTGGCCAGTTTGGCTCAGCGGTTGAGCGTCAGCCTCTGGACCAGAGAGTCCTGGGTTTGGTTCCCGCTAGGGGCACGTACCACACACACACAAAATAATAAAAAAATAAAAGTCGCTCCCGTCAGTAGGAAAGGCCTTGAATGGAGTCCTAGAGTCACCTCTACCACAGAAGTCTTTGTTGTGAATGGAACCGAGTTCCGCACTGAAGGATGACAAGTTCTGTCTCCGGTGAGACGGAAATCTGAACAGGCTTCCTCCTGGAAAGGCCGGGGGGGGCGGGGGGGGAGGGAGGGGGGCCGTGTCTACAGACACACGAAGCCCCAGGGAAGCAGAGGTGAGTAGGTACAGCGAAAGGGCCATGAGCAGCCCAGGAAAGGCGGTGCGGAGCCAGGAGCAAGAATGGTCATGCCCCCTTCTCTCCCTTCATGGCTGGAACCTGCCAAACACACCAGGCTAGTGGGATAAACACCCATTCCCACCACCACACCTTACTCAAGTTACCTGTCCACCTGCTGGGCATTACATTCCTCTACCCTTTGCCACCTCACCCTAGGACTTAACTTAATAGGACACTGAGACCATTATGGAGAAAAACATACAACTCTATTCAAGTCCACACAGACTTGAGTAAGAGCCACAGGGGCAATTCACACTCGGACATCAAGACACGCTGCAAAGACACCGCAGTACAGAAGGTGGGGCGGGGCGGCCTCGGACCAGTCAATCGCTAGACCAGATATCACCATGTGAAAAACGGTAACAATACCTATAGATAGTATAAATTAAAAATGCACACATCAGCCCTGGCCGGTTTGGCTAAGCAGTTGGAGCGTCAGCCTGCGGTACAGAGAGACCCGGGTTCGGTTCCCGCTAAGGGCATGTGCTTCGGTTGCAGTCTGTCCCCAGCCCTGGTTGGTCGTGCGGGTGGCAGCCACTCAATGTGTCGCTTCACGTCGATGTTTCTCTCTCTCTCTCTCCTCCTCTCTCTCCCTCCCGCTCTATCTGAACAAAAAATGGAAAAATGTCCTCGGGTGAGGATAAAAAAAAATAAATGCACACATCAGTAAACATTACTAATTTATAAACATGCACAAATATCCAAAACACATATTAAACAGGTGAGTGGCTGGGAAGGAACGAGGGGTAGGAAATGAAGGGAAACCAAGGAGAGGGCCTTGCAAGGATGGTAAGGAGGGCGTGTCCTAAACTGACACATGCTGTTTCCGGAATGATTTCCTCCCTGGTAATTTCCTGTCTAGTGCCCAACCACTTGAAGTCAAAAAGGAAGTCCAGGCCAGAGTAGTTTGTCACTCCTGAGCAGCAACGAGATGTGCGCACAGGGTGAGACTGCCCACCGCCGAGAGCAGTGCTCACTCACCCACCCGGCAACCCCGACTCGCAACCCCGCTGAGGCCACGATGTGATGGAAAGAACACGGGCTCCAAAGCCACACGGAACCAGCTTAAAGACTGGTTCCACCCTGACAAGCTTCATCTCTCCAAACCTCAGTAACCTCTTCTGAAAATGGGGCAACACCTGCCTACCTCAAGCTGTTGTAAGATTAGCTGAAATAACCAACATCGAGTGCCCGACTCAAAAACGACTAGCTGCCTGTGTTCCCTCCATCGGCCCAGGATTCCCTGCCCACGCTCTGGGGCGCTGGGGCCCACAAGAGAAAGCACAGTGCTGGGAGGAGCCACATGTGCAGAGCAAGGAGATCTGGGCTCCAGCCCCAGCTGTCAGCTGACTGGCCATGGCTCTCACTTCCCCTCCCAAGGCCTCAAGAAAACGAGGCAAAGGTCTCAGCTCCGTGCAGTCGAAGCGGCTGCAAGCCTCTGAGATGCACCAGCAGCCGCGAGTCCTTTCCATGACTCGAATTCCAGCCTCACACAACTGGGGAAGATGAGGATGGGACGGAGGGTTTAAATCATACATGTTTTGTATGAATACTATCCCTCAACAAGAACTTTAAAACATGTTGTACAAAGTATATCAGCCTCATTTAACCACAGATTTAAAACTGCCGCCACGGTCTTTATTATATAAGCGAACCAGTGACAAGGACTGCTGTATCACTAAATAAAGGGAAATGTAAACACCAGTGAACATCTGGGTAGAATGTGCCTCATGTCCACACAGCATCCTGATGCGCAGAAGCCCCGCACACACTTAACTCTCAGGAGCTGAGGCTCTGAGGGGTAGCCAGCACAATGACCACTGTCCAGGTTTTGCAGCCGAGGAGGAAGGACCTAGAGCAAAGCCAGGCACCTGGGCGATGAGTCAGCATTCACACTTGAAGTCAGGTCTCTGGCTCCTAGTTCTTACTTTTCCAATAAGACAAAAGCAAAACTTTCTTTTAAAAGTGAAACAAAAAAATCCCTTTTATGGCCAAACTTAGTAGGATTCCTTTTTCTTGTTAACAGCTGCCTGGTCATCTAACCCAAACGTGACCATGCAGGGCCCTCCACAGGAAAGGAAAAGCTCTTCCATCGGGTGAGTGTGCAGGGTACTGCAGCAGGAGCCGGCAACTGCGCCCCAGCTAAGCATGTCCACTAGAGCACAGGCCACAAGAGTAAGAGAGGAGTCAATTTCTGCCCCAATGTTCCAGAGAAAGAGGTATTTGGGATTCTTAAGTATTATTATATAAATTTAAATCCATACATATTACAATACCATATTCATGTACCATCATTTAGTTAGTTTATGAGCCTTAGCCTGTAACAAATACTTAACACTACCCTTTAAGTGAAAATTCATAGTTTGCTTCTCAATTTTGCGGGAAGAGACATCTTAAACACTAGCTCCACACACATGCAGCTTGCAGCTGGTCTGAGCCAAGCACAGGAAGTTAGAGCCACGGGGGTTTCAGAAGAAAGGCCAACAGCCAGGCAGACGGACTTTGAAGAGGTTTCCTCCATGACAAGCCCCAGGAGGGTCAGTATCGGAAGGTCAGCAGCTCTCCCAGCCCAGCTCTGAGCTGAGTCTTCTGTAGGAAGCAGTAACTCACGCTCTCAGCCAGGCAGTGGGTCACTGTCCCTCATCTCCCTCAAGGACAAAGAGCCCCTGCCTGGGACCAATGTGTTCACCAGGAGTCCGGCACAAGCATCTTCACTACAGAAACACTTGGCTTATACATTTTATCTTGCTTATACATTATTGAACTATTTGGATCTGCATTTTAAACAAAGCAATGGGAAGTGAGCAAACACCAAGAAATGCAAAGCTCCTGCAGTCTCCCTACGTTCTGGGGACAATGCCCGCTGAAGAGAAGGCCAGTGCCAATCCCTGCCAGGTGCAGAAGCCAGCAAAAGATGACATTATACAAATCCAACACACTTGAAGTTGAAGGCCCCAAGAAAGTAATATTTTACCGTCGTTTTCGAAGGATGTGAATCCAGATGGTCCCAGAAAGGAAAAAGAAAAAGGCCATAAAAATGTATAACTTAGGGAGAGGAATTTCTCCTGCAGAGAGGTAGCTGTCAGGATTCTTCTCTGTGATCTCAATCTGAAACCAACATGAAATTTATTTTTATTTTTCAGGAACAGATAATTCTATATTCAGCAATTTGTAATCTTAGCTGTTTCACTTAAGCTTAAGAAAGTGAGTACCAGCAGACAACAAGCACATTCTCAGGGCACAGGTTGAATGTAAACACATCCTAATTGCTTTATAGTTCTTTGTCTATAAATCTTTTGCTGAGGTACCTGCCCACTGGCCACACCTTTCTCTTACTTTGCTTAAGTGTTCTTAAAACCTATTCTTACAGAGAAATACATGTCTCATTTTACACAGCTGACAAAACTCAAGTGGAACAGTTCCCATATGGTACTCACATCAAGGCTGAATAAAAACTTGTCATTAGACTGTATTTTAGGTCCAGGGCATTTATGAAAATAAAGACTGTAGAGGCCTTCCTGGTCATTGGTGCTGATGTTAAAGAAAAACTGAAAGTGAAGAAGAAAAAAATTAAAGGGTACCCAAATCCTCAGCTAAATGTTTAAGCCTTAGAAAGAAATCATGAATACTATGAACAGAAGAGACTACTTAAATAAATCAAATTCTCCCAGAGAGTTTAAACAGGCAGTCTCTTCTGTGATTCCCTTGCAATATTTAGTTATAGCAACCTTCAAGCTAACAGAAAAGTTGACAGAATTATACAGTGAATACCTATACACTCACTACCTAGACTCCACAATGAACATTTCACTATCCTTGCTTTTTCATGCACCTATGCAGCGGTGGTGGGTTTTGGCAGAGGTCTGCAGAGGTAACCTTAGAGGCAATTATCTAGTTTTCAAGCCAATACATTATTTTGCTCTTTAGGTAAAAATACTCCTGAAAAAGGAAGAAGGTTCATTTGATACTTGACAAGATAAAGAACCAGTACTACCTTCATTAAAATTTATACCCGTGATTTTATACAATAGTAATAGATGCTACATTTTCTACATTCAGACATTTTCCTATGTTTTTCATATACTTCATGTGTTCAAATGAACTTTAATTTAAATCAAAAGACATTATGTATATAAGATCATAGAAGCAACTCCTTGGTCTATTCTAGAGAACATTTTTCTATAAGTCTAAAATACGTGGTTTAGGGCTACACATACAGATGGCAAACTATAAAGAAAGGTGAGGACAGGATTACATTTTCCTTTTGTATATATACTACACCTTATGATTTAAAAGGACGAGGTAAAAAAAGAGATACCTGACAAGTAGATGGAAATAAAAGGCCAAGAATATCTAGGTTGAAAGTATTAATTTGTTAAATCATGTCCCAAATTCATCCTTGTAAATGTGAGACGTATATTTTAGTCCACAAACGAAAACGATTCTAAACATATTAACTTTTAGTTCTCAAAGTAAGACTTGTGAAGTTTTTAAGAAATACTAAAAAAAAAAAAAATCAATAGAATCATTAAGGAGATCAGAGTTGGCACCTGATCTTTAACGAGGAAAAAAAGCAGAAAAGTACATTTTAGAGTTGGAATGAGCTCTGACAATCCCTTTCCTGCTCTGAGGATTGAAGATCATCATCCCTGTCCCATGGACGGAGCAGAAAGGCTCAGTCAGCGTGACTGCACGCTGCAAAGCTGGGAGGATGCTGGGGAGCAGAACAGCAGAGCCTGTCCTTTACAGGGAGAGGGAAAGCCGGACAAATGGCAAGCTGCCCAGACACTGCCTGTTTTATGCATCCCAAGGACCCTACGACTGGCCACTTCAACCAATGTTCATCATCAGCACGTAGGCTGCTTTTCCCATGACACACACCCTAACACAAAGCATTCATCACTGACAAAGGTGTACACCCTATAATGCTTTTCTTTTGTAATTATTTCTTTTTTAAAAGGCTTTTAAATAAACATTCAATACACTTATTTTATTAATAAGCATTTTAAAGTGAGGAGAAAAAAGAGAGAAAAGTACCTTTTGTATTTTCTTAAGGAGGCAGTAAAGCAAAGTGGTTAAACACATGGGCCTTGGAGTCAGAAAAACCTGGGTTTGAATCCTCCCCTTAGGCAAGTTACTTAACCTCTCTGAGACTCAGTTTCCTCATCTGTAAAAGGGGAATAATAACAGTACCTACTTCATAGAGTTGTTGGGAGGATGAACTGAGATAATGACAACATGTACGTACTTAGCACAATGCCTGGCATTCATTCATTCATGTCCATAATTACTGATGGAGAGCCTATTATGGGCCAGGTCCAAGATGAATTCCATATACATCAGTAATAAAACAGAAAAAAATCCCTGCCCTTACGGTCACCTTCTAAAGGAGAGACTGACAAAACATGATAAATTAGTTACAGCACGTTGGAAGTGAGAAGTGCTATGGGAAAGAATGGAGCCAGGGAGGGTGAAGGGAAGTGGGCTGCATTTAAAACACAGCGACTGGAGGAAGCTTTGTTGAGAAGGTGATGGTCCAGCAAAGCCTTGAAGGAGGAGGAAATTAATCACAAAGATTCCGAGGGACAAGTGCCCTCCCAGTGGGCACGGCTAAAGCACAGTCTAAGACCTGCTCTTTTCTAGGAGCCTGTGCGCCTGGCACAGAGTAAGCAAGGGGGACGGCAGAGAAACAGGAGCTGAGGACAAACATGGTATTGACTAGACCACGTGGGTTCGAAGACCAGTGGAAGGACTTGGGCTTTTACTCTGAGACAGATGGAAAGCTACTGAGGATTCAAAGCAGGTGAGTACAAGCTCTCAGCTTCTAAACTTAAAGAACATAAAAACTGTTACATAGGCAAAATAAACTATGGTGAGAGAATCAGAACAGAGGATACAGGGGTGGGGGACGTCCTGAAGTGATAAAAGCAGAGCATTCTGATAGAGAGTGGATTACACGGGTGCGTGCATTTGTCAAAACTGATCAAACTGTGTGCTCAAGACCTGTGCACTTCACTGTAAGCAAGCTACGTCTCAATTAATGAAAGCTGGTTAGAAAGAGGCAGTGACTTTTACAAAATAACAATAAAGGTGATTTGCATAGTGCTTCACAGACCACATATATTTTTTTAAAATAATATGCCTAACAACCCTATGAATTAGGCCTCATATTTTTCATTTTTAGATGATTAAAGAGTGAGGTTCTGAAGTGATGTGAATTGTCAAGGTCACCAGCTAGTAAGTGGGTGCTGAGATCCAGTCCAATGTCCTACCCAACATAGGTTGTGATGCCGCCACAAACATTCGCATGCAGTTAGTGATGGTGACAGCTGAGCAGGTCACTCAAGGCCTCTGAGTCTCAATGACCTCATCTACAATTACAACATCACCTAAAAGATCACCCATGAGTCTTCCAGATACAGAACCCTGTGCTTCTGGAGCACTCTGAATGGGAGGCAGAGGAAAGTTAGAGAGGCAGACTTGTGGGGACAGCCAGGCAGAACTGGGTTGGAATCTGGGCCTTGTCACTCACACTGGACATTTGTGAAGTTATTCACTCTCAGAGACTTATGATTTGCTATGTGGTGGGTGCTAATACCTACCCTGTAGGTTTGTTATGGGAAAAGTTACTGTATCCAAGTGATAGCATGCCTAAATTATTCTGAAATTCAAAATTCCTTTAAAAATTCACCCTCGTGGTAGAGATAAATTCTACAAAGGTTCACTCAAAGATACATACCCCAAATGAAAGTGCCCCATCATTATTACGAACAGAAAAGGACGTCTCTTCCATTCCCTAAAAAGAAATAATAACCTGTTTTAGGACACTGGCAGAAAAAGTAAGTTAATAAAAATAAAGATTCAAAAAAACAAACCCCAAACATGTTTTTCTTAAAGCCTACGTCTGCTGACCTTTTAAGGTTCCCTGAAAATAAAATCCACCATCCTTCAAGATCCCCTTTCATAGAGAATGTTCACTCTTCTTTACCCCTTGCTTTACTCAGCTGTCTTCCACCTCTTCAGTAACCCCACTCCCCACCTCGTCCCCCATCTTCCTGCTGGAGCACGTCTATACTCTTCGAGCTTCAGCAAGACCAAGGATGCCAACCCAGGACACCCCGAGCCTCCCCTGGACTCCACTCCTGATGTCAAATGAGCAACATGCCATTTTAAATATGTAATTTCCCCTTATCTGCAGGGGTTACATTTCAAAACCCCCAATGGATGCCTGAAACCACACAGTCCCATACCCTATATATAATATGTTTATGTTTTTTTCCTATACATCCATACCTATGATAAGGTTTATTTTATAAATCAGGCAGTTTCACAGACAGAGATAGGTTCTTACTGTAGATCTCAGCAACCTCACCATATGTTTTTTTTCCTTATGGAGTGGAGAACATCCACCTTTCAGGTAGAGGAAGCTTCTCTGTGGCATATCCAGATTGCCAGCATCACTCCACTTGCACAGTGGGGCATTACTAAGTAAAACAAGGGTGACGAGCCCTGGCCGGTTTGGCTCAGTGGTTAGAGCGTTGGCCCACGGACAAGTCTAGGGTTGATTCTGGTCAAGGCCACATACCTTGATTGTGGTTTGCCCTGGCCCTGGTCGAGGTCGTGCAGGAGGCAACTAGTCAATGTGTCTCTATCACACGAATGTTTCTCTCTTTCCCCCTTCCATTCTATCTGAAGAGGATTAAAAAAAATAAAATAAAACAAGGGTGACGAACACAAGCACTGCAATAGCAATAGCACAACAGTCGATCTCGATCTCACGACTGAGATGGCTACTAAGTGACGACAGGCAGGTAGCAGCATATACAGCTGGCTCTGTATTATCTAAGATCCCTTTCTGCTCCCAAATATGTATCTTTCACTTCAAATAGGCCAGTGCCCAGGACCTTTCACGCTCATGTCCACTCCCAGTCTTTGCTTATGACAGTCTTCATCCCCTTCCTGCTCTTCTTCCCCAAACAAATTCACTAATCTTCCAGCCTGGTGATACCCCTTCCAGAGGGCTCTCCAGACAGCTCACTTCCCCTCCGCTCACCATGTGACCCTTTATCACGTAAGTGTTCTACAGTGCAGCACTCAATTTTACTTCAAAATTGTTTCAGAGTGTCAACATTATCTTCCCAAACAGAAGGCAGCTAGCTCCCTGTAGATTAGGCATGTGTATGTATGTGTATGTACAGAAAGACGGCCACATGTGCACACATACACACACATATCCAGAAAAGCTGAGCACAAGTGGGTAGTTAGTTCTTACCTTTGAATCCACTGTACTTCTTTCAGACTTTCCACTCTCTAGAAGCAGAAACATTGAAAAGGTATTACAATAGGATTCAGCTCATATATATGTTACAGTATCATTTTATGAGACTCTAGCTTGTCTGATAGCAAAGAATTCAAACAAACAGAAAAGGTTAGGCTATATGCTATCTTGTAGACTGCCACCTCTTTAGATCCAAAAATAAGTCTTGAGCTGCAGAAACTGCAAACCAGAACTTACTATATTATAAATAAGTGATAATATTCAATACCAACAGGGAACTCATCTCTGATAATCTAAAGTATGTTACTGCCAGAGATGCCACATGGGGTGACTTTCCTGATTTTCTAAGTAATTATGTTTGAAAACAGATCACTATTTAAAATAAATATATGTGAGATTTATTTATACACATGGAAAAGTCAATAGCAAGTATTAGCATAATGTATACTTTTTTCCCCCACAGCAAGAAGTGTTAAGATTGCTAATGCCTTCTTTCATGGAATAGAGAGGGCAACTGGGCCTTATTTTTACTTAAGATACTCTTCATGAGGAAGACAGGATCTCAAACTCCCTAAAGGAAGGGAGAAGGTTTCAGAAGAAAAAGAAGGAAAAGAATATGCCCTGCCCAGGAAATGGTTGTACGCATGAGGAACCCAGACAAGGAGATGGTGCACAGACCTTAAACCACACCATCATACCAGTGAGAATTGCTGCTTATCTTTCCATTTGGGTTAGAGTCTTTTTTTTTAAATCCTCATCCGAGGACATTTTTGCATTTTTCTTCAGATTGAGCGGGAGGGAGAGAGGGAGGGAGAGAGAGAGAAATATCGACATCAGAGAGACACATTGAGTGGTTGCCACCCACATGGGCCAGGGACAAACTGCAACCGAGGTACATGCCCTTAGCTGGAACCAAACCCAGGACTCTCTGGTCCGCAGGTCAACGCTCTAACCGCTGAACCAGACCAGCCAGGGCTGGGTTAGAGTCTTGACAAACTAAGAAAAATGTGTAAATAATACAACAAATATTAATTTATCTTTAAAGAACTCATATAAATTATTAGACAAGCCTGACAGTAAATGAAAGAAGTGACAAATATAAATTGGTTAATTAATATGGAGAAAAAGTATAGCCTAATAATAACAGTGAATACAAAAATAAGAATGCCTTTTTTGCCTTTCATTAACACACACACACACACACACACACACACACACCACCCACTCACTCAGAACTGGCTAGCACAAGTTGTTACGGGCGCTTTCCCACATATTTTCCAATATAAGTATATAAATTCACACAACTCATTTGGAATGAAACTGAAAATATGTATCAATATTCTCAAACGTATTCAAATCCTTCGAACCAGGTATTCCAATTCTGGGAGCCCATCCTAAAGAAAGTGTCATGTGAAAAAAGTTCTATGAACAAAGTCCAAAGAAGCAATTAACGTCAAAAGGAAAGTATGTCTCTTTAAGGAGAGAGGTTGAGCAAATTACAGTATTTATTTAACAGAAAATATGATAAGTATAAAATATCTTAAAGTTAACACATTGTTGACTGGCAATTTTATGCAGAAGTTATCTCATGTCATGAGCTATTTTTTCATAATTGAGTATGAAAGTGAAACAATCTAAATAAACTTCAGCATACTTTATTTATACATAATAAATTTAAATGAAACTTTGTACATATCTGCTACATATTATATTTTATACATGTTACATGTTTTAGTGGTTTTTGGTGTGGTATACTGCACAGCAATGCCCTACACGTAATGGTACCCACCATGTTTTGTGAATCTATCAGGTTTCGCTGTGCTTTCACCTAGGATAACTCTGCTTAGGTGCATACAAAGACTGAAATTTTGGAAGAAAGTAATCCAAAAGAGGCCTAATTTTATACAGTCGGTCTTCATTAGATGTATTTTGTGAATTATCGCTAAGATGAAAAAAATGTAAGAATTTGCTTGAACATCATTCTGCCCATAGTTTTAGGAAATATTGGAGCTTCAACCAAAGGGTTTGTTGACCAGTAATCCCTCCAATGTGATTTTTTTCATTTGTTCCATCAGTATCAACAAACCGAGAAACTTCTTTACAAGTTAACTTGTAAGCAATCAACAATGTGTTATTAAGTGAACAGAATGTTTAAAGTGATAAATGTGACTTAATTTTAAAAATCAAATGTACACTTAAGAAATAAGCTTAGCCCGGCCGGTGTGGCTCAGTGGTTGAGCGTCAACCCATGCATCAAGAGGTCGCCGGTTCAATTCCTGGTCAGGACACATGCCCAGGTTGTGGGCCCGATCCCCAGGGGAGGGCATGCAGGAGGCAGCCAATCAATATTCTCCCTCATCAATGTTTCTATATCTCTCCCCCCACCCCAAATCAATAAAGAAATTTAAAAAATAATGAGCTTAGATAAAACATCCATTTCTAAAATTTTAACACTGGAGGTAAGAAGAAATAACTGTTCTTTCTCCACCTTCTCCTTATTTTCCATGTTTTTCTTTAATGATTATATATTTTAGCATAAAATAATGCTAACATCACATGTGTTTCTACTTAGGAACCAAAGAGACTCTACAAAGCCAGGCATCGAAGAAAATGCTAGTTTCCACCTCACGTTTACCTTGTTTTGTCTCTGTCTGGCTGCCTGCTGAAACAGGGTTAATGCCAGCCTCCTGGCTCTGGCCAAGGACTTTCTCATCCTTGCTGAAGTTGATCTTTGGTAACTGGGAACCAGATTCTGATGGAGATTTTATTTTCACTCTATAGTTAAATGAAATAGAAGAAAAAAGTTCAAAGAAATGCTTGTGGACCATTTAAATGTTGTATGTCAGGTGCTGCTCATGATCTGAATTAGTCATCTCGTGTAGTCCTATGATGTAGATTCTATCATCTGCATTTTACAGACACTGAGATGGAGGCTTAGAAAGGTTAAGCACCTTGCCCAAGAGCAGTAAGCTAGTAAGGAGCCGGGCAAGGATCCAGGCTTTGTCACCCGAGGGCTGAAATTCTTGGCAACCATGCAATTCTGATGTGCATACTTTCCCACTAGTCATCTGTGATGAGTTCAACAAACTGGTGTACAAGGGAACCGAAACAAGAGGTGAAAGACCACTGAAATGTTAAAGGAAGCCTAGGGGAACATGTGAGCTGCAGTGGGGACTGTCAGTAGCCTGCCCAGAATGGGTTTCCTCCCTTCTCTCTTAACAGCCCCTACTTTTGCTTACCCGCCCCGCACCAGGGGCCAGTGAGTTTCCAAGCCTGAGTGGACACGTGACCTAAGCTGCCACCATCGAGCTGAAGGGAAGCACTTCTAGTCCTGCCTGGGGAGTAGCCTTTCTGTCCTTCCCTTAGCTCGATACGCATAAGACTTCACTTTACTGAACACACCACACTGTTTCACTGTTTCACACTATTCTGCCTTTGTACTTGCTATTCCCTTTGCCGGAAATGTTCTTGCCTTTCTTATTCATTTGTGAAGTCTATTCACTAGAAGGTGCATAGGGCCGACAGACACCTGAAGCCTTCCCTCCTCTCCCACAGCCCCTCCGTCTCTCTGCCCACTTCTCTATTTTGCTATGATCGCTGCAATGGCTGTTCTGTCTTCCTCATCTTGCTTTTAATCTCTGGCACTCAGCACAGAATTTGGCAAATGGCAGATACTCAATGAATGTTATCTTAATAACCAAATTACTCCTAACTTGACTCTAGGATTGCAATGAAGAAGTATTAGAATTACTTACTCACTTCTGGAGAAGTTTAGGATTAGAAGGGGGACAGAGACAATCTGTTTCCTTAAAATACAGAAATTCAGATCTTCATCCTAAGAAAGGAAGACCCAATTATACATCACCTTACTCATTCACTTTTTGTTCCCAAAAAGTTTTCGAGAACAAGACAAATGAGTGGTCCAACCTCTACTGCACACGATACAACCGTGGGTGTACTGATGCCCGGAAGTCCAAGCAGCCACCACCTCAAGGAAACAGCACGACAGAAGCAGAGTTCCCACCCAGTGTCCTGAGCTCTAGCGATCGGATCATGCATTTAATGCTCACCAGGTAAGAAGAAAATCCGTCATTCTTTGTACGGTCGAGGCTGAATCCAATCTAAGAGGGGGTAAAAACGGTAGAGGTAAATGCCCACATAATAGCCTGGCGTCCATATTTTTCTTACTCAAACAAGAGAAAAGGCTCTTTTGGCCTCTCGGTTTTCTTAGCATTCATTCTGCCAGAAGGATCACTAATCACTAAAATTATTCAAGAATTACAACTTAAGTATTAGAAATAAAACTAGCTGATGCCTGCTCACAAGTTTTCTTTTCCCCATATTCTGATACTTCTCATTTAAGTATGGGGCACAACTGCCACCTAAGAGACAAGGGTCAAGCCCTTGGTGTCCTGGGAAGTCACTCACCATCAGGTCCTTCTCTGTGGCTCCCTCAGGCTCATTCACTGAAAGGCTGCTGACATTAACCACCATGTACCCATTCTTGAAGAATCCAAAGGTGTTCAGATGAACCTTATGCCTCACGTCGTCCTAAAAAGATACAGTGGGAAAATTAGTAAGATGGAGAAGTTAACTTGATTATTTAACCTAATGATTTGCTTGAAAAACTGTACTAATAATTTCCTGCTAGCTAACCAATATTTCCATATACTTAGTAAAATATACAACTGTGGTACCCTATTTGGTTCAAAAGCTGAAGGTGACTAATCATAAATGCATACAATATCAACAGTTTTGCAGAAGGAAGTGCATTAATAGATGCAATTCATTCTGATGCATCTGTAAGAGTCCTGACTTGGTGGTCAATTGGAATGTGAATTCAAGGGAAGGAGGAACAATGATTTAGTCATCTTCAATTACGTCCTGTTAGTACAAGGCCTGGCATCCAGCAGGCACTCAAAAACATGCTGGCTCTGCCCTGGCCAGTGTGGCTCAGTGGTTGGAGCATTGGCCAGCGCACTGAAGGGTCTCAGGTTCCATCCTGGGCTCCTAGTGCTGGAAGCAACTAATTGATGTGTCTCTCTCACATTGATGTTTCTCTCTCCTCCTCTCCTCTCTCTTTCCCTTCCACCTCTCTAAAAATCAATGGAGCCCTGGCCAGTTTGGCTCAGCGGTTAGAGCGTCGGCCTGCGGTCCAGAGAGACCCGGGTTCGGTTCCCGCTAAGGGCACGTACTTCGGTTGCAGTTTGTCCCCGGCCCTGGTTGGTCGTGCGGGTGGCAGCCACTCGATGTGTCCCTTCACGTCGATGTTTCTCTCTCTCTCCCCCTTCCTCTCTCTCCCTCCCACTCTATCTGTACAAAAAATGGAAAAAAAAAAATAATAATAATAATAAATAAATAAATAAATAAATAAAAATCAATGGAAACTTCTTATGAGCTGTGTGCAACTGGCTTCTCCCACTGCAGGATGATGAGGGATACCTACACATTCCTTTTCTAAGCTATAATTCTTGTTTTACTTCTAAAAATTATGTTCTATATGATGGATTTCAGGAAACAAAGCCTTATGCAAAAGGAATCCCAGGAACTAGATAGGATCTTTTGGACACAGGATAATCCTGAGGTTTGTTAAAACTGAACCACATGGGCAAAAGCCTATCGTGCCTGTTGGAAACTGTCTCGAAGAGGTGATTCCAATCCCAAGTAAGTCAATAAATTTTAAGGTTGATAAAGACTAACTGGAACTTTAAGCAAACATAATCAGTCAGGAGGGTCTATGGGAGGAGCTAGGACTTACATGGAAGTTCTGACACTCTAGTAATTGAGAGAATGCTCCATGAAGAGCTCTATGCTTATAATACAGCTGTGGTTGCCTTCCCTTAACTTCCTTTACCTTCTATAAATACCCCTACCACTCTGCACACAGGCCCAAGAGGGCATGCACAGGGCTGCTACCCTTTGTTTTTCCCGAATAAACCCTTTCTGGTGACAAAGCACCTAATAGTTTTTTTTTTTTTCTTTATTGATTTAAAAGAGGAAGGGAGAAAGAGAGAAAGGGGGGAGAGAGAGAGCAATAGAAACATCAATGAGAAAACAATGATTGGCTGCCTCCTGCGAGACCCCCACTGGGGATTAGGCCCACAACCTGGGCATGTGCCCTGACCAGGAACTAAAAGGGCGACCTCTTGGTGCATGGGTCGAAGCTCAACCACTGAGCCCTGCTGGCCAGGCACACCTAGTAGGTATTATTTTTCAGTTGACAAGGCCAGCAGAACAATGGTATCCTAACAGAGTGAAATGCTCAGTCTCTCCGACTCCACCTTGTTGGGGCCTGAGTGGTTCCGTGGCCCTCAGGCTAATAGCTCCTGCTTTAGACACACTTAATCACAAGAGGAATTCTGCTTGGGGCTTGAATTTTTACAAAAATAGCTCCTCTCACTTTCCCTTCCCTGTACTTAAAAGAAGCCTGAACTCTGTACTTTCTTAAGGTGGATCTGAGGAACTACTAGGGCCCCCAGCTTCGGAATGGGCGCCTTCTTAATCAATAAGCCCTTTCTGATTCCAAATTCTGATGTTCTGAGTTTTGGCCTTTTGAAACGTTGGGCAAATGGACCTTGGACGGGTAACAGTATTAGTGAATACTCTAAAATTGTGGTTCTACAAAGAAAGTCACAAGTTTCATATTGAGAATCGTCTGCCTAAACTGGTACACCTTCAATAAATTTGCAATAAGCTAATAGTTATTAAGTATTTCCTAAATGTAAGGCACTATGCTAAGCACTTTTCTAGTGCTTTTGTATCTTGCTTATATTTTTAAATTCTATACTTTGTTTCTTTCAATTTTAAATATAGCTATTTTACAACATATTGAGATGCTATGGGGTCTAATTCTGCTCTTTGTCATCTCTGCTGACATTCACAGCAGGTTGTTTAGGTGGTTTCTTTGTGTAAGTGGTCCTTATTCATTTCTAGACTTGGATCTTCTGGACATTAGAGGCAGTCTAACTGCATACACCAAAGGCCTAGGAGGAGAGGCCCTGGATCAGATCTTCAGCAGAAAAATTGAGAATGACTCCTGCCTCTGCCACACACAGCTAAAGCATAAATCTTACTGCCATTTCCTAGCCCACTCTGCCACGAAGAATACATAGCTCACTGAGAGTTCCATATTCTGGGCTGAGGATAAGGACACAGTTCTAGCTCCCTTCCCCAGCTGGGTCTTCAGGTTTTGGCTCTTGCTTCCTCTAACTGGCTGTTCAAACTCCAAGACTCTAGGGTCCAAGCTTCTGCAATGCTTCAGGGCAGCCCTGGTTTGTGTTCTTTTACCCACTGGAGTTTCAGCAACTTCTCACCACCTTTCAAATTTTTTTGGCCCCTAGGAAATCCCTTTATTTTCCTAGGAGCCCCGCTATGCATTTAAAGCGTGTTGGCCAGACTTCTACTTCCAGGTGGGATGGAGTAGCTTGCAGCAAACCAGTACTCCCAGGGAGAAGTAGAAAAGCCAGCTAAGATAATAGAAGTCATCTGCTAAAAGGATCAGAGAGCTACTAAAGCATAAAAAGCAGAAAAGCTAAGGCTCACACCCTTCCTCAGGACTGTGAGAGTGATTAACCCCTACAGAAAATGATCTGAGTGACTACTTTCTTAATTCTCCCAAAGGTGTGACAAGGCTACTACCATCCTAGATGCACAGAAGAGAAATTAATTCAATTACATATTTTGAATGTCTTAGGACATGTGAAAATTAATATAAACGAAGCCACTTAAAAATGGAGTCAGAGCTGCCATCCCAGAGGAAACTCCCTTCTTGACAATGGTCCAAGCAATGATTTTTTGGATAGAAAACAAAAGCACAGGTAACAAAAGCAAACACAGAAAAATGGCATTGCATCAAACTGAAAAGCTTCTGCACAGCAATGGAAACAATTAACACAGTGAAAAGACAACCTATGAAATGAGAAAAATATTTGCAAACCATATACAGTCATCCCTCACCACTCCGCGCTTCGACTTTTGCGGCTTCACTCTATCACGATTTTTTCAAATATAGTATAGTATATTATCAAATATAGTATAGTATTTGAAAAAACTGCAATAGAGTGAAGCCGCAAAAGTCAAAGTGCGAAGTGGTGAGGGACGACTGTGTATAAATAAAGAATCTTACTTTGCGGAAATTCATTTATTGCGGTAGAGTCTGGAACTGATTAATTGCGATAAACGAGGGTAGACTATATCTGATAAGGGGTTAAGATCCAAATCACATAAAGAACTCAAACAACTCAATGGCAAGAAAACAAATAACCTGACTTAAAAATGAACAAAGGATCTGAACAGACATTTCTCAAAAGACATACAAATGACCAGCAGGTATGTGAAAAGTGCTCAACATCCCTAATCATGAGGGAAATGCACCTCACACCTGTTAGAATGCATATTGTCAAAAGAAAAGTGTTGAAGAGGATGTGGAGAAAAAGGAATGTTTATACACTGTTGATGGAAATGGAAATGGGAACAGCTGTTATGGAAAACAGTATGTAGGTTCCTCAAAGAATTAAAAACAGAACTACCATACAATCCAGCTATCCCACTTCTGGGCATCCATCCAAAGGAAATAAAATCACTATCTCAAAGAAATAGCTGCACTCCCATGTTCATTGCAGTATTATTCACAATAGCCAAGATATGAAAACAACCTAAGTGGTTGTCAGGGGATGAATAAATACACACACACACACACACACACACACACAGGATTGTTACTTAGCCTTAAAAAGAAGGAAATCTTATCATTTGCGACAACATGGATGAAACTGTAGGACATTATGCTAAGTGAAATAAGATACAGAAAGGCAAATACTGCATGATCTCATATGTGGAATGTAAAAATGTTGAATTCTTATAAGCAGAGAATAGAATGGTGATTACCAAGGGCAGGGGGTGGGAGAGTTTGGTGGAGGATCATGAAGAGATGCTGGTCAAAGGGTATGTGAAGTGATGAATATGTTAATTGGCTTGATTGTGGTCATCATTTTATAATGTACACGTATATCAAACTATCATATTATGCATCTTAAATACATGCAATTTCTATTTGTCAATTATACCTCAATGAAGCTGGAAAAAATATTAAATGCAAAGAGCAGAATCCAAACTATATATAGTAAGAGCTAAATTGTAAAAAATGAAAAGGATAAATATTCACATTTATTTATTTATAAAAGATTTGAAAAAAATTCACCAAACTATGAAAAATTTAATATCACTAGGATGGTAACAATTTTCTCTCTATATTTTTTAAATAAATATATTTTTTAAATATTTTCTAAATTTCTAACAAATAATTACCAAAAGTCAATCTCTCTATTTTTTTTTGAATACTACCATTTGCCAGTAATATATACAGGCTCCTCACCTAACCTAGGTCCCATTTCCACTTTAAGCTATCATATCACCATTTCAAATGAGAGATGTATGGAAGTGACTTCACGTCTCTCACTATAAAAAGCATAGACATGAAGATCTTGAAACTAAAATGGATCAGGAAGGTCATATATTCTTCTTTTTTTGTTAATCCTCACGTGAGGACATTT